TGGATAGTTGTAGAGATCTTGACTGATGGGGAAAATTTTGACGAGTTCTTAAGAGTTGACATGGAAAATAGGGGAACTCCCAAGGCATCTCACTGTTGATTACCAAATGCGAGTAGAAAAATGACAAGACGAGAAGTCATGACAAGAAGAGAAGAAGAGGTGAGAATGTGAATCATAGAAATAGCGTGTAAAGGAATGATGCTAAAAAAACTCACCAACCACTCCGAATTTAATGAAAATAAATCTTTAAAAAAAGCTGTAAGTCCACTTCTAATTGAACCCAAAACATATGGATGTATGATAACATGCTCGTTCAACATATATTTGACTGTGTCTTCGAGATTTTTCTCATTTCTTCCGTCCACTCTAGATTTTGATGCAAAGCTACCACGTGCACAGTTCTATTGACTCAACCTAATAGTGTGATTATTCCAAATTGGTGGGAGACAGGTGTCAACAAAGGTGATGTGGGAATGACGCTCATGAATTAGCATAAGACTGACATTTCGCAATAAAAAATTTCCCAATAGCATTATGTGTAATGGCCACGTACATTTCTCTATTCCCAAAAACCAACGAGTAACTTGGTATGTGACAATAGAATATGGCCTCTCACAAAATTCGTAGTCAATTGGAACGACTTTATTGGTATTGGAACGTGAATAGGCATAAAGATTATTTCTACTTGTGAAGACAATCCAAACGAGCACGGAATCTGGACAGTGACTCTTCTGTTTTCAGACACGTCGTATTTGACAACTAGAAGCTATCATCGTTACTGCACATGAAGTCTTCTCTTGTAGAACTGTCTGGAATGAGTCTTCTGAAGCGACGCGTGCGCTTTCATGAAGAGTAGGCATAAAATACTACAGCAGACCATCTTCTACAGCTCTAGAAGGATGCAGGTCAGGGTCTGTTCGACTCTGCATCAAGGAATAAATCCATGGAGTAGGCTTATTGATTCGAATCAAAGTGAGTCATTCATAATGTTCCTCTCTGAAGGACTTAGTGTGTTCAATGGAGAAAGTAATACTACTTACTGGTTACATGAGATTTGACGTACTATACCTTGTCGCAAACACTGGGCTTTTCTCGAATACTGACATCAGTACGTTAAAGAGAGGTACAACTACTTATGTGATTTTTAATCAGAGGACTAGAACTTAAACAACGTCATATATCAAAGCAATCGTTGTCGGCTTGGAGATTATTCTGAGTTAACGGAGAAATGCTGTGAGTCTCCGCTTACTGCATAGTTTGTGGAGGTCTATTATTCGTCGATATAGAAAGATTGGTGACTGTCGCTTTTCTCCGTTTCTCCACGATCCTGGCAAGAGGCGCTTGTAGCTACGACAGGATGTGGTGTCCCCTTGCATCAGAATCCTGACGACACGCTTATGGACTTTCAAGCTTCTAGACCATCGATCGTCGTACAACGTTCTGGACACACTTTCTGACTGTTTCTCAGTTGTTATTAGTAAGAGATCCCTTTTGTTGGATCTCTTACTGATTGGAACTGAGAAACAGTCAGAAAGTATTGTAGGAAGCACTTTTGAAGCAAACAATCCACTTGTGAACTCAGAACGCTCCTGCCACAAGTAGTAGTGAAGCTACCATGACATGACCATCACTTGATAACTATCTACTGTTATCGCGAATGTTGTACAAGTTTCAAAGATGGTCGATCCAGAGCTAATGCTAGAGTTGGACCACATGGCTTGACATTCAGATTGCGATTTAGATTGGAGTGCAGTGTCTACGAGATGGCATCCAGATATGTTCTAAATGTATAACGGAGTCCAAGAATTTACTTGGTGACCTCATTAGTTTTTGTTGACTACTTATAGTGCATCCAATGACATTTGCTTCATTCCAGCATCCAGAGATCTTTGAGGTAGAAACACACGTCTACAGAGGTATACTGAGTTGGGTTCGTATAAATTAGGGCCCCTCCGATTATTCAGTGGTAGGTCAGATAACATTGTATATCTGTTTCCACAAAATGAATTCAAATTTCCACGTTTTATGGCAATACTCGTCATGGACATTGGCTTAAATAGAGATATGTTGGCTCTAAGTCATTTCATATCCACTGCACTGCCTAATTTGATTGGAACCAGTCGGGTCCCATGTCTCGTAGCAAACCATGACAGATACGAATTCATGGAGAGAACAATGACGTTCTTCATTGACAAGCTAATGTACAATATCCACCCTCAAGATTCGAGTTGAATTTATATTTTATGGTGCTGTGCCCAACATTCGACCTCTCTGTGAACATTTGCATGTCCAGCGCAGGGACGCTCTACAGATTACTTAGACAGATCGACTGATCGTCCTGAATCAATGAACGGAAGGTCACAGAATGTCAGAAGTGAAGTAATTGGAGGTCGGAAGGTAACATAGACTTGCATTTGCTCCCGGTTAATTTGAATCAACAGTGGTTACAGGTGAGCTGAGCAGGATGTAGACTTTCGTTAAGAAGATATACACAGCATGATTAATGGCTCAATCTGTATAAGAATGAATCTAACCCCGTCATGTGTCGCTTTTCTCATGATTTTGAATTACGTAGCTATCGAAGCTTGAACCCTTCAGATGGTTTCGTCCACTTGATTTTATGCACTGTACCATGACCACAGTCCAGTAAGCTGTACAACTCACAGGATCGTCTCTTGTCTGATGTCATTTTCTCTCCAGGAATCGGCTAGAGTACCACCAAAGCCATTTTGTGTTTTTAACGACCTCAACAAAAATAATGTACATCTTGGGAGATATGATTATCGCATACTGGTTTAACAAGAATTAAGAGATGAATATCGAATCGGGCCTATAACTGCTCAATATTTGTGGTCATTTATTCATTTCATTTTTAACAAATGACTCCATGGTCATTACCTCCATGACTCAGTGTCACATTTTCAAATAAAATTTCTGGCGCATGCAAAGCAACAGAATTATACTCGGCATGAACATCAGGTTTTCAAACATATCCCTCATGGTGGCACAAAACCTTCATGAAAATAGAGTTCTCTACATTTTTGGGGGACCACATTGCTCCAAAAGCTTGAAGAGGGAAATAACTGCTGTATTGCCTCTCCAGGAAATACAGCAGTACAAATTTGCTACAACATACAGTGTCATAGCAGCGGAGATACATTTATCTTTGTAACCTTTAACACCAAAATGAAAAAGTTACGTGGACGTACCACTCTCTGATGATATCGGAAGTTCATCTGATCACGTAATTTGATTCTGGCCACATATCACTGAATCTCAAAAAGCATCAGTAAGCAACCACCGACAGGCTAGACGGATATGTGAGTCATAGCCGGGATGGCACAGAGGTCAAAGACCTGACATGAAGCCGACACGACACAAAGAACTGTGTTGAGTAACTAGCTCGCTCTAACAAGCAAGACCTTCCCTCCAGTCCTCTGCTCATTCAAACAAGAAATGTTTTGAAATGAAAGGTTTGTGTCAAGTTTCTGAAAGTAAAAATAAATTTGATCACCTTTTCCCAGCCGGTCAGCAGTCTAAAATACAGATGGTCTTACCCCAGCCGGCAATATCTTCCTTGAAGTTCTTCTTGTTTATCCCTCCCTCTCTCTCTATATACATATCTATCTATATGTGTGCCTGTTCGGGTAAATTGAGCTTCTATCCACTTTTCGATTTTCAAGATTTGTTGACATCATACGACTGCTGATTGACAATGATTATCTATGTCATAAGACATGTCTGTGAGATAGACGGCTGTCCCTGAAACGTCACGATCAGGGAATAATCCATCGATTGTTTGGACATTACACACGTTTTGTTCATACATGAAGGACTCTAAGTAGAACGGTATTCATGTCTTCTTCCGCTTAGATGAATTCTTCACCTACTCTGATTCAAATTTGCCACTTTAGGAAATCGGGATTTCCCCTTCTTTGGTAGATTATGGTGACACCGTCATGACCGATACACTCCCCATTCGTCTTATCCTACCCGCTGAGCAGAAAATCCAGAGCAGAAGTGTGAGTTTATAATACGAGTCCCATGTTTCGCGCTTAGTAGACAAACCGAGTCTCGACAAGTCCAGGTGTCCTATTGAAGCCACTATATGACAGCTTGAAATGATTTTCAGAATATGCAAATAAGTCAAGAAAAGGACTCCTGATTGCAATTCGAAAAATTTCCCAGGACTGTGTCTCTCGGCCACCTGTTTGTCAGCCGAAGACAGGAGCACATTAGAACGAGTGATAGATCGATGGTTTTCTATTTCTGGCTGCAGCAGAAACAGTACACCAATCCCAGAATAGAAAGGTTAAGCATGATAACCTATATCGAGGTGCAGATCTGCTAGAATGTTCAAGGGCGAGTGACATCACCAAATCTACTGGTCAGTCGGCGAAAAGCAGAGGTGGGCGGCCTATGACTGTAGCTAGGTGGCAGCAGAAAGTTTTGCAGGTACTCATCCTTTTTGGTATATTACTTGGTCCCTCCTCTGGACTCAACCTTTTTTATCCTTTTACTGTCATACGTTGTTCATACGGCAGTACAATGAAGATTTACAGGAACTCTTTGAGGTGAGCAAGCACGGAAAAGTTGAGTGAAAGGTCTTGAAGATGAACTCGAGCCACAAGTCAAAAGCTCAAACCTTTCGTAAAATGTCGAAAAGGCAACTCTCTTGCCTGAAGTGGTGAATTAGCCACCAGATTTTTTCTTGGCCTCTTGTACACGACAATCCTTGTCGACCATACGTAGAGGGTAGAGTATACCCCCTACTTTCCATAGGAGAGAGGCTTGCCTCTAGCGTAGGCTGCAGTGCTGTGCCATGCTGAACAGTCGAGCTTGAATGCTCTGCCGACACTTCGAGGGTGTTATGCCGCGCTGGACACCTGAAAGCAAACGTGGCCATCTGTGGCTGGAACTCTGAACGTGAAATGCCCAGAACGGGGGAACCAGGTTCACATACACAAGAAAAAGTCCAAATATCAGCACCATAGGCTTCGACAGTCACAAATGCTACTTTCGAGTCGTCTGGGTCAATGAGAGGCAATGGTCCAGCTACCGCCGTTAAGAAGGTCGGCCAAGCTACCTGCGGCGGCTCTCGACCCCTTTCTGTGTCTCTCCAGACAATCAAAGAGGATGTCAGAATACTCGGGGCGTGGTGCAGATGTCTGATACGTGCGCGGCTCGAGACTATATAAACGTCGACCCTGCAGCCTTTCTACTTCCACTTCATCTTCACCACTACAGAAGCTCCGGTGCAGGACTTCCCGGAGTTGAGAGTCACTGTTGTATCCAGAGCGGAGGTGTACGTGATTGACATCAGTAGCCCAGTGCGACGCTGCCGCCATCGCTATTACACAGGCCAAGTGTCGCGCCTTCTTCTGAGCCGGGACGTCGATTCGCAGCAGACCTTCATCCCCATGGCGATGCCTCGGCAACCCGTAAGTAGAGCAACAGCAACCGTGTCACGAGCGTTTATGCATGCTATTACGGAGCATACGGATTTCGTCCGGTTCGTAGCAGATTTAAGCATGTCGAGACCTCGACAGTACGATGTAGAGTCGTGGGATCGTTGAATTCGGTGCAAGGTGCCACTGCAAAGCTGATTCTGATTTCTGTGTGTCGTGTTGCAGCTTTACTACGACGGATACGATCCCGCATGGGTGATCGGCACAGGAAAGCCGGCTCCTGTAAGAATGGCTCACGTACCACCACAGCTGCTTCCGCCAACGATGGTCCCAAACCTGCCAATTCAAGCTGTACCTCCATTTATGCCCGTACAAGCCAACGGGATCCTCCCTCCAGCGCAGCTGCCCCTTTCGCACAAGAAGAAATCCCATGGTGGGAATGCTTTACCATTTGTACAGACCCACGGACACACGATCGGGAAAAGCAACTTGGCACCCATGACCAAGTCCCAAGTACATGTCGCAGGACTTCCTGCTGTGGGGATGGTAGGGACCAATCCGAATCCGTATGCGCCGTCCCCTGTCATTCAGAATCAGTCTCCAAGGCTGCTCTCCAATGCACCAGGTCCTCCAGCCCGCGTCGTTCTCTTGCCGGAGACGGTCGTCGCCGGAGCTCTTCCATCCAAGGGCGCCGTTGTTCTCCCGGCTGCAGGCGCTCGCGGTGTCATCAATCCGGTAATTATGCTTTGCTCCTCTCGAGTGGCCCTCTCCATCGCGTCCGAGCTTCGAATTCAGCTCGCCCGTGCCATGTCTCGGCCTTCTTGTCCGTTCTGACCCAGTCTGGCTCACCGTTCTTGCAGATTATCAAGGTTGTGATGTGGGTGCCGCTGTGTTGTGACGCATGCGAGAAGAAATGGAAAGACGGCGTGACCGATCTCGAAGGTAAGACTGCTGACGAGGTTCAGTGTCCATGTCCTGTGCGTGGCGTCGTCGTTCTTCGCTAGTTAGAAGCATGCAGTCCACGAATTCTCGGTGAGAATTCTGAGGCATGTAACAGATGCCTGATCATGCTCGTGACGGCGTTCTGGCTTACAAACCTCAAACTTCACCTCAAACTACTTTCAGTTTCAGAGTCTCCCACGAACCATGCGACACCTCAATTCCGTGGATAGATTGAAGTCTGTTCGACCATCATGGGAGACGTAGCCATGGCTAGCTTCACTACTGTGTATGTTTACGTGGATACCCCGAGGGAAGTCGCCCGTGTATTGAACGAATTTTATTGGCTGTGTTCCTTCAGGGTTTGAGGGATTTGATGTCGAAAGAAGACTCGAGCGGGTTTCGGTTTTCGGACATAGTTTGTCACCTACAGCGGTGCTAGCAACAATCCAGAAAGTTGTGTCTCGCGCCCAAATGTGGAGACTGTAAGTCCACATGCGGTGTAATCTGCAATGAATCATCTTGCGTGAGAAGTACAGGGAGACATGTAAGCCGCAGAAGAAGCTCGGTGAAGGGAATTTCCCCCTCCTCGAAGAATCAGGCGATCGGGATGAAAACGGCACACATCATGAACGAGATTTCGCCAACACACTCACAGTTGTGACATACAGACTCATGTCGCTCGATTATAAGGCCATAAATATCTTCAACAAGGGCCCATTGGCCGGACCTTCGATGAAGCCTGGATTTGGATGCGACAGGTCATGAAGATCCACAGCCCCTTCGCAAGTATCTACATATTCCCAACGGTTCCACACTACGACACAATATGAATAGGTGTCGATGAGTTGACTGTAGATTCTATACCCGGGAACCTGGCTTGGATTTAAATTTTGTACATTCCTGTCAAGGTAATCAGACGCACCGAAGGTCCTGGTCAATAGAGAGAAGCCTACTGGACCTTGAAAGCGGCAATTTGGAATTCAATGGGTGGAGATTCCCACAAGGAACAAGCATATGGGTTTAGACCCTACGACATTCAAAGACTTAGACCTCGACCAAGTGCAGATTGACACACTGTTAGACGCGAGATCCACTTGCGACACTTTTTGTACATAGGAAGTGTACAGATTCTAGAGGTTAATGGTGTAGGCCCCAGGGCCTCACACAAGCTTGAAGAGATTGGATTTAGAAATGGAATATTTTCTGAAATTTTGATTGAAATGTGAGATTTTCTCAACTCATTAAACTTCATATTTCGCCTAGAGATGACTTAGAATCTCCGATCGGAAATCCATTCCATGTTTTCAATATTGTTATGCGACTCTTTGTCAAATATTTCACAAGTCTGCATACAGGTACCTCCACTATGGTCTGAGCTATTTGACTATTGTTTAGTATGATTTCATAAGATGAAATGATATTAAAATACAATTATTGGTCTTAATGTAAGACCAATATTTCAAACACTTTTGTCCAAAGAAGCGTATCTTTTTCTTTTCTTTTCTTTGATATCTTACATAATTATTATCATTGACTCTTAGAGCAACGTCTTGCAGTGAAACCCCAACAATATTTGTTGATACTCAGTAGTCCACAAATTGTTACACATCTTAGAATTTGTTCAACCCTAACTGTAAATTGTTTAAGTAACTATTTTTACTCTCAATTTCTATTAATGATAAATTTATAATAAAATGTCTTTAATGAAAAATACTAAATTAAATTAAATATATAATATATAATATATAATAAGTTTGAAAATTATGAAAAAGATGCTTTAATTTTTATTTTTAAATATTTAAGATTTTTGAAAAAATTCAACAGATATATATATATTTATGTATATATGTTTGAAATTGAGAAAATAAATTAAAATTTCCAGAATATCAAATCTCACAATATATAATTAATTTTAAATTTTCAAATTATATGTATATAATAATAATTCAATTTATGGTATTTTCAAGTTAATATGTATTAAACTTATTTTCAAAAAATTCTGATTTATTCAAAATTATGCAATAATTCTTAAAAAAAACTTGAAATCATTCCTGAATAATTTCAAAACATTCATTTTTCATATTTCAGTTATTTCATCTTAAAAATAATATGTATTCATTTTTTTATGATTAGAAAAGAATTCTTCAAAAAATAAATATTTTTCTATTTTTTTAAAGCAAAATTATATGATACTGTTATAATTTTAAATATATAATTATAATATTTAATATTTATTTACCAATTAAATATAAAAATATAAAACTTTATAATTTTAATTTATTCAAACAAAGTGCAAAATGCAGCCATTACAATAAACAGTAGAGTTATTTTGTTTACCTGTTTGAAGGTTTTTATCTGCTGATACACAGCATTTAGTAGTTTTGAGATTTTTCTCAAAAGCAAACGTTATTATTCATGCATAAAACTCAAAAAAATAAGAGTATTGAAAAGTTTGTTTTTATAAATAAGAGAAAAAAATGAGAATTAATATAATAATGTAAAAAATTAAAATTTTAACAAAATGTGAAGTTTAGATTGTGATATTTTTTTAAAAATATTTTTTCTAATTTTCTTTAAATCAGATTTATTTAAAATTTTTATTTTTTTTAATTAAAATAAAACTAGTTTGAAATAATCTAAAAAAAATTATTTTTCATATTTAAAACTTCTTAATACTCTTCAAAAATATGTCTAAAATATTTTTATGAATGATATTTAAAAAATTTATTCCAATATTGGAAAGATTTGTGAATTTTCAAAATAATATAATTTTTTTTCATATTTCTAATTTCAATCATATTTTTAAAAATATATGATTCAAGTATTTATTATGACTGAAAAATAAATTTTGCAGAGATAATAATTCTTAAAATTTACTCAATTGTTGTAATCTATAAAAAAATTAGAAAAAAATGAATGATACTCTCACGATCCAAAAAGTATGATAATAAAATTTAAAACTTGTTTATTCATTTTTATGAAAAATGTATAACTTTCTATTTTGAATATAATTCAAACACATAGAATATAAATGTTAAAAATTTTTTAAAAAATTGGAAAAAAAAATTCTAGAATTAACATATTTCATTTTAAACAAGTATAATTAAAATGTGCCAATTTTTGAAGAATTTTTGAATTTTTGAAGATTTTCAAAATTTATATATAAATTACAATATTATAAATATTCTACGATGATTTGTCAAGATCATAGTTAAAAATATTTTTTTTTCTTAGAAAAATGTTATGATTGAAAAATTAGAATTCCTTATAAACTATTTTTCTAAAGAAATTTCGACATATGATTAGTAAAAATGTTTAGAACTTTTTTCATGATATAAAGATTTTTTTTAACTCAAAAAATATAATTTAAAGATTTATAACTTATTTTTATATTATATTTTTAAAAATCTCACTATTCTTCTTTTACTATGAAAAAATAAAAGAAGAAGCAAAAATTAAGCAAAATAAGAATAAAAAGTTATAAATTTTTGAAGAGTGTGGAAGTCAAAATTTCATAAATTTAATTACAAATAATTATATCCAATTTTTTCAAAGATGGTCTACATTAAATTGTAGAAAAATCATATTTTTCATTTTAATTTAACACAAATATAATTTAAAGATTTATTTTATGATGTTACTTTGATGTTCATCATTTCAATAAATAAATTTAATTTTCCAAAATTAGAATATTATTCCAAAATTTAGCACATGCTTTTTCTGCTCTGTTAAATATTACACAAATGTTTTGTATTGGTGTAGGTATGCCTCATGAAATTTTTGTTTAAACTTTACCTATTAGAAAATATAAAAAAAAATTGCTAAGATTATTTATTTCTTCATATTAAATAAAAAATAACCATAATTTTTCATTCTAAATAAATCATCTACATCTAGATGAATAATGATTTAATCCAAAATTCCACAAAGCATATTGTACAATCTAATAATACACTATTTTATTTTATTTTTCCATGACCATGTGTAACATGGATACAAACTTAAAGATCTAGCTTTACTAACTTCTTCTCTAGTTTGTTTGATATACTAAAAAAATTATTATTTAATTATTTATTGTCCAATTATTATTTATTTATTTAATAAATGAAATAAAAGAATTTAATTTTAGAATTAAAATGAATTAAATTTTTTTGAGAATTAAAAATGTCAGAAATTTAACTTTCAAAAGAATATGACTAAAATTTTAAAAACATACTTAAAACTAAACTTTCAGAGAAATAAATATTATTTAATGTTATTAGTTTATATAAAAAAATGAAACCAGAGTGTTCCAGTTTTTATCAAATATTTTTAAAAAAATTCCAAGAATTTGATGTTAATTATTATATTTTAAGCAAAAAAAATTTAACTTTTCAAAACTTGTGAAACTTAAATTTTCTTCTATTATTTTGGTATATGTTCAATAAAACAATTTACATTTTGCCTAATGTTGAACTGTGAGCTGGCTATTACATTAGTAAACTCATCAATAATATAAATATACCCTCTAGTCAGATATTATAAATCGTGGATAACGCATTTGATCAATACAGAGATAAATAAAATAAACAGGTTTGACTTTCCATATACTTGAACAGTAAGGCGGTCTACTAGAAAATCATTCTCCTGTGGAAGAAGCATGTCTTAGTAAAAGTAGAGGTGTCTGCCTTGGAAACATTACTAACTATTATAAGTAAGATTTTGTGCACGATTATATCGTTCTCCAGATTACACTCTGCATATTTGAAGACTTTTCCTCGAAATTAGACATGTGCAACAAGCATCCGGTCAGATTGCATTAAGTAGGTTGCATGTACCTGCTCAAACCAAAGCAATTTTGTTACTAACATGCTGTTACAACTGGATTATCACTGAGTATTTCAGTATCACTGTGGCCTGTACTCAGTGCTTGCACTAGACTTTAATATACATACATATGTGTCCCACCTCTCTCAATAGTCTGGATTATCTCCATGTATACAAAATCTTAAAACTTGAATTGAACATATGTTTTTGGTATAATTCAGTTACATTCTTGTTCAGACGAGACTGGAACTAAGTCTGTAAGAACTACCACCGAGTACAAGACAAGGGCTGGATTATTTACTATATCCATTAGTTGTTAAAAAAAAATATAATTTACTTAGATTTTTTAGAATTTTAATTAAAATAAAATAAATAAAACATACCAAAATATATTTTCAATACTAAAAAAATCTGTAATATTTTAAAAATAATATGATTTAGATTTTTTTAAATTCATATTTTTAAATTTGTTTTATAATTTAAGAAATATAAATATTTATTCTAAAAAAATAAAGTGGATATATTAAACAAATTCATCAGTCATATCATGTTCATGAATTCTATGAAATTGAAATTTCAATTGATAACTAATACAGTTATACATTATTTGAAGATAATAGATTTATTATTATTATTATTATTATCATTATCATTATTATTATTATTTGAGAAATATTCTTGTGTCTAAGGATAAATTTTTCATTTTAGATTTCTTGACTGATATTTTTATGAAACGTAAAGATGTATTTTCATCTTTTTAGATGATTTTTTTGTCGGATCACAAGATGACATTCAAAAGCACATCAACGTGTAAAATTTCATATCATTTGGCTCGAAATGAGTTGAAGAATCCAAAAGTCAAACAAAAACATGGTCAAGAATTGATTAAACCAAACATTTCATTTTTAGAAAGCATAAGTGCTATTTTTGAAAAAAAAAGATGAAAGCTCAAGATTTTGCATTAATCATCATAAATTGATTCAACTAACAATGAAAAATATAAATCTATCATAACTTTTTAGATCAATTTTAAGTATTAAGATTTTTGACCAAATTGGATGTAAGTAGCAACTATAATTAATTTCAAATCAATAATAAGAAGATTAACAAAACTGCACTTTGATATTCTAATCCATAATAAAACCTTGAATAAACATGGAATTTTTTTAACAAGAAACACTTCAGGTTCAACACTAAAGAAGTTTATATTATATCAAAGATTCACAATAAAATTTTTATCAATGAAAGTAAATAGTTTAGATGTATATTATAAAAAAATAAATCCAACTGATGAGTGAAGAAATAAAAACTATCCAATAAATAGACCGCATTAGAAGATCATACTTATCTGAGGAATGTTTTGAAGCTTATAATATTATATTGTAGATTCACGAAGGATTCTGCTTGTTTTTTTTAAGCTTTAACATCTATACTAGATAACGGTGGAACATTGTAGATGACATATTATTCAAGAGTTAAACTTTTTTGCATAAACTATGCTAATTTACAGGCATATACTCCCAAATGTTGTGTATTGAATTGATCTATTGTTGATTATTAATGCGCAAGATACAGCCCTGGGTTTATCTTGAACAAACGATAAGAATGATCGGCATCTAGTGGAATTTAATGCAAATACTTAGTGACAACTGAAGACATTTTCACACAAGAGAACCTAATAATTGTGTTAGAAAAATAATCGAAAACACTACGTGTAATTAAAACCAATCACATATCATCAGTGTAAATTAGACCTCATAAGAACCTTTCCCAAAAAAGAAAACTAGTACATGAAAAAAGGTTTAATGGATGTGAAAGAAACCATTTGCGGATACTTTAACGCAAATAACTTACATAATACATACCAGAGAGATGATAATTCAAATTGATTGGAGGAGTCATATAACCTATGCCACACGATATAATGAAAGTATTTTCAAAATGTTTTAAGAAAATCTGTTCACAAAATTTTGAAGTTTGATAATTCACAAGCAAAGTATATCAACTGCGCAAGATTTAGAGTTGAAGAAAAGTTCAAGTTTTTGACCACTTCACCAGATTTTTTTAAATTGCTTGTAGCAACCAAAATAATTTTTTCAAAAGATCGTGATACAATCATTATAGGCCATGTGAGAGCTGAAAAAAATTTAGAATAAGTCACTTCATGAAGTGTTGATGATAAATGTAGAACTTTATGTTCGAAAGTATGTAGCTTACCAACAAAATGAAATGAATTATCAGATACATATTGGTTTATTATTATTAATTATTATCTATAAACAACCATAAAAACACGTTTTTATGGATTTTGCATGTGAATATACAAGAAATTTTATTAGTACATAATTCGCTTGTGTGTCTTCTTACGAACTCACTAAGATGATCCACATTAGATGACCACAAAAACAGTAAGATGTTTAAAATTTTTAATTTCTATCTATATACAATTTTTTGGAACATGGATTAGTGTGTAGGTCTAATTACTAATTGAGTCATTTTTCCACTAGTTATATTTTTCAACAGTTGTAAAAATTGTAAAACTTTTTTTGAAAAAATTAAAAAAATGTGAATTGCATATCATCATTAGATTGATGATCAATTTAGCAAAAATCAATATACTAATACATCAAATGTCAAGTTCAATTTAAATTTACAAAGCAACAACAATGATTCTCTGTAGAATTTGCGTTCAGCTTTTATGGTAAGTATCCACAATGAATATTTTTTTTACCTCATGTACAATGTTCGTATTGAATGTTCATATCAAATTTAATTCCATTAAATTTGATGAAGGTTTATAGACTAATTCCCCATGAAAATAGCAACAATCAATAATTTCAAAATTCATTAATCAGTACATCTAAAAAGCTAACTTAAAAAAAAGTATTATTCTTAGTACAAAAGTGGATAAAATATTATGAGATATGCATACTGTGGTTTATTTCATGCATAGAGTTGATTTTTAGATAGTTTATGAAATTTGATTGTCTATAAAAAAAATATTCTTTTGAACAAATGCTAAAATTGAGCTCATAAATATTTTAAAACAAAGAAATTTGGATATATATATACATTTCAACAAAAATTAATTTGTTCAAATACATTCAAATTGTATCCAGCAAATTGATAATTAAGGAGTTTGAATGCTTGTACCACAGAAACGTTGCACATATTATATGTGTAATCAACCTTAGATGATTACAAATATTTATAAATTAGAAATTGATCAATATGAAGATTAAGCTGACTTGTAAAGCATTGTCTATAGTTATCATATCAACACTATTGTGCTTGATTGGTAAATTTTGATAACGTTGATAAAGAGTGATAAGTATATAATTTGTATGCTTTTTAGAGATATATGCCATGTCATTGATCCACAAAAACTATGCTTGGTATTGAGAATGATATCTATTCCTTTTTACATGTTCGATCAATATATATAAAAGAAAATATATCTATTGGATATATTTCAGCTTGAAAATCTGAGATTTTATTTATGAATCTCTTTTTTTTCTTCAGTGATACAGTTTAGTTTACTTTTGTAACTTCGTAATCTAAAGATCAATATCATATGGAGGAATTTTTAATTATGTGAAGCGTATAAGATAAAAACAACTGCTGTTTACATATTTGTTGCATTTGAGTGGTATGATTAAAGTATTCAAACATAGCCCATAGGACAAGCAATCTACATCACATCATGTTATCAAACTTAGATTGCTGCTATTAGCCATACATTTAAGAAGAAGTCCTCTGAAGATTCGGTTTTTAGGAGATAGTCGATACAAAGAAGATGCTAGCACTGTAACATGCCAATCAACCCAACTAGCACAGCTGCTACTCACTATCCAACTCAATTACCACAAACAATGATAATTTGTGTGCATTTGATTGATTATAATTTGAATGGTTTATGTTAGTATTAGCAAATTCAAATTTAATATAACCTTATTTTGGACATTCTCAAGTGTAAACAGGGAAAATGAGATTGCTGATGTGTTCAAAAAGGCTATCTCTGGAAATATCTTAAAGTGGTTTAATTTCAGCCAGATGATCATGAATTCCTTAGTAGCAGCGTATGATTACATAGAGGATATAAGTCTCATTAGGGATATAAATAAAATGCTTATAGTTAGTAAATAACATAATTTTAGTCCATTGATATTTCTCTTTGCAATATGTTACATAGGCAGGTCAAGGATCCAAACCCTTTCACAACGCTTAGAGTTGCTATGATCTTTTAGGAAACATAAGTTTTTGAGCTACCTGCCTATCCCCTCGGTTTGGATGAGAAGGTTTACATCGATCAGGATACATGTGCGTTTTTTGCATACTTTAGGTTCTATTCGTATCCACTCTTCATATCTTCATCTTTTGTTGTTGAAAATATGCTGTTGGCGGCCTCTTCTAATTGATAAACTTTTAAGATTTGAAGTTTGGGTCCTAAAGATTAATTCAAGGCAAATTTTTTTATAATCTTGGTATTTATGAAGACAAATTGTAATCTATGAAAACATATCAGGCCTGAGTTCCTTGATTGAAAACTTGTTGATTATGCTGATTTATGTATGTTTAATCATTTTTTCGTATGAAGAAGCTTTGGAAGACCTAGGCATCAGTATTGACATTCAAATCAACTACTTGACTTATGGATGTACTTTCTAGCTATTTTAAATGTCATGAAAAATACAGTATTAGCACAAATGCTATTACTTTATTTTAATAAATTCGTATTTTTTAATACTTCCTAATATCTTTATAAATACTAATTGTAATGATGAAAATTTTCATTTTTTCTACTTGTGCGATCTTGACAAGCCCATTATTTTCAAAAAAATCGTGATACAAAATTAGCTTTGTAATATTTATAGTCAGCTATTTAGGACAAATCACATTTTTACTCACTCCAATGGTTGAAACATCCTCACAACCCATTATTGTATTATATCAATTTGACTTAATAGCTTCACATACCCCATGATAAATACAGATTTTTTAGTTTCCTTAACGCATATTTGTTACCATTACGTGAATTTACTGAACATTGGTAAAAAGATAAACCAGAAAGCCCATATCTAAGGCTGAAAATCGTACGTACATTATAAAAAGCTCGTTTGTGTACATTTTATGAAAAATCTTTAAAATATACCATATTAAATATTTGCGATACTGGTAACTGTTCATGAGGCATTTAGAAACATCGAAATATACAGCTGACTTGATTTGCAGTAAATACTAAATAAAACAAGTTTTTTTTCTTCATTGCGGGTGTAATCCGTGTGTTCACAATGTTGGAGTCCAATTCACACCATTCTACTGATGAATGAAAGCTTCTTGACCTAGTTCAGCAGGAACCCATCACCGAGTCGAAAGCTGTAAAATTGTGCTCTTCTTCTGGCAGGGGCAGATAACCACAATGTTACTCAGAGAAGGTTTAGGGTTTTTAAAAAACATTTATATAATTGAAACGCCAATAGTAGAATCTTTAGCTTTTGCGTCAGGGGTGCACGCACATGAACCGAGGAGTTTCAAGCCGCAAGTCAGTGGGAAAAGGAGAAAAAGACATTGACCACGCACAGACTGGAATAAAACATTACAGAGCATTTGTATCACATTTATTTCTTCGAAGACGTGTTCCTGAAATGGGTGTGCATAATCAGTCTGCTGGCTAGTACGAAGGTATTTAGTTTTCAGGGACCAGAGACGGACCACCGCCAATTTAGCAATGCGGCTGGAGAGGACCGATACCAGTGTCTGAGTGAGATGGTTACTTACAAGGCTTAGGAATCCTTCGCTCGTCCGGGTTTTCCAACCGATGTAGAGACGAGACGGGACGGAAGCACCGGTCACGGAGAGTCGTCCATCGGCCCAGGTCGATGCCGATGCTTATTTAAGTCACGGCAGAGCCTTCAGCATCGACTCGCTCGCTCATTCTCCTACGCCCGATTCGATAGCGCTATCTTTGGTTCAGGGCTCGTGGTGGCCTGCATGGATTCCCAACCCCGTTCACACACGATGCCGCGGAAGAAACCTAGAGTGTTCTTAAGAATGACTGTCCATGATCAGCGGCTTGAAAGCAGCTTGAGGTCGTGGGCGAATGCAGCAGCTCGACGAGGACTGAGGATTCCGGATGCACATTCGCGTCTGCTTCACGAGCTCGCTCGTGACGCCCACGAAATGATGGACCCGAGAATTTGGAGCCAGCTGCCGGAAAATTTGCTGGTCTGCGTGCTGGTGATCCTGCCGGCGAAATCTCTCTTTCGTTTCCGCGCAGTGTGTAAAGGATGGGACGCTCTGATCTTCTCCAATCGGTTCCAAACTACTCGTTCGCAAGTGCACATCCGCGAGCCTTACTTCGAGTTCATAAATTTGATCTACTGTCGGAGTCCCCAGCAGCTCTCGAGCTACAACCCCGTGGCCAATAAATTTCGCAGAATGTCACTACGCTTCCTCCCGCCTTGCCCAAACAGTCCAATCGCTTCGTCCGGCGGGCTGCTCTGCTGCTCTGTGCCACGTGAGTTCGGGTCTGGCTTCTGGATGATAGTCTGCAATCCCATGACGGAAAGCTGGAGGGCGTTACCAGCGAGGCCCATGAATGAGAGGCCACTGCTGGTCAGCATTGTTGCCGAGAGTCGCCCGCCCCGATATTCAGTCATTATGGCCGGCCATTATTCGACCGAAATCTTCGACTCCACAACTCTCTCGTGGCGTTCAGCAGGCAGGTTACCTCGAGATACTAAGTTGCATCCTCAAATTGCCCACTGTGCTGGCAGCTTGTTCTGTCTGACTCGAGATGCCTGGCCTATGGCAATTCTCCAATTCGACCTGTATTCGGGGGTGTGGAGGGCGGTGGAAACGGGTCGACTGCCTGGGCAGTGGCAGTGTCGCACCTTGGTCGCATGCAAAGGCTCCCTTTTCATCGTTGCGAAATCATCGAAAAACAATCGGATGACTGTGTGTATCTGGACACTCGACCAAGCCACCAGAAAGTGGAAAGAGATTGCAGCGATGCCTCCATCGATGTCAGAGCGATTTTTCAAAAAGCGCAGTCATTTTATTAGCTCCACGGGTCATGGAAACCTCATCTTCCTCACTCGAGACAATTGCGAGAAAGGTGCTTTGTACAATATTGACAGAGATGCATGGAAATCCGTTCATAGGTGCCAAGATCTCACATTCCCCCACCTCTCAGAATTTCAGCCAATGCTGGACGTCTTCGAGCCTAGTTTTGCTACCGCTTGATTCGTTTCTGGAGCGGATCGGTGGCAGTACATCTACATATAGACCTGTGTTTGGTAATTCAAACTATAGAAACAGGTAGATTTTTCAATATGACAGGAGAGTTCAGAGTTTTCATTAATTGATTCCATCAGACAGAATGCCAACACAATTCTCAAGGGTGCTGAGACAATCAATTCATTTCAGAACCCTTTTCAATTTGGTGTTCTTCGATATATAAATATGTATATAAAAGGTTGCATCAACTCCTTTACTCTTTAGCTATATAATCAAGACGGTCATAGAGAGGCAACTCTTAGAGCTCAAAGTTAACCGTTAGCTTATCTTTGAGGATAGATGATTGTACTTGAAATTTTATGCTTTGTAAAGTTCCCACGTTAAAGTTCAAGTGGCAAAATGTCATCACAGGAATGGACAATTTGAGTCATTCCTTGTGGACGTTTAGTTTGGAACAAGTTTTTATTTTATATTCATTTTCTAAAATAAGTTTGAATACATCTGTTTTCCATTTCTTAACTACACTTTCACTTGCATGGTTTTTGGGCACCAATTTCAAGTATAATAGCTTATATCAAATTTGTCGGTTTCCCACGTATCTATTTGAACTGCCACAACATTCTTATTACGGTGCTTCAGTTAAATCTTATGCTGATCTGTTCTATACATCACTTCAGGTAGGTACTTGAAGACCCTTATAAGAGATCGTCGTAAAGATCATGGATGTTATTACACCACTCAAAGGAGGTTTAATACGGTGAAGGTTTGGCACTGAAAGCGTCCACTCTATTAGCTTGTCTGTTCTGTCATGTTCTTTTCTTTGTTAATTTGGAGTAACCATTTCCACAGTACACATAGATACCAATCTCGCGGCAGCACTACCCAGGAATTTGAAGCTACCGGTAATGACCAGATGCGTTGATGGAAAGATCACAAAGAGCCCTCAAGAGGAACTGTCAAAATATACTTGCCTTCGCATTTAATGAGTTAAGGCAATCGCCGTGCTCCAATTTTGCTGATTGGCCTAAGGAACACCTGATCAAATTTCAGTACAAAATGTACCTGGAGTGCAGATACTTGAATCTCAAGTCATCTAGACTTATCCTTAAATGATCGTCAAACAATACGGCCTATCTGTTCTCTACGGTCAACACGATGGGTACAACGATATCAGATATCGAGGCTTACATAAATATGACCAAAATCTTAAGTTTGGTCATGTTTAGTCAGTTTGTAACTCTCAAGAAAGGTAGCTCAAGGAAGGGAAACTCAGAGCTTCAACTTTTTCGTCTGCGATAAGATCTAATACATATGCACTTTCGATATTGAAGTAGCAAAGAAGAAGGATAATTTGCAGAAAGTGCAGAAAGGGAAAAATTACTTCTCGATGGTGGGAGATGAGTCCACATGTGGCAGTGGTCAAGAGGTCGAGAGGCGCTAGGATTCCAGTTCTTCTTCTTGTTATAAAATGCTACCATCTTCATGAAACGCATGTCAATAGCTGCAACATGATATCAAGTTCATATTGCAAAATCTCTAGAAGAACTATTGAAAATTGGGACACCTGCTCTTTTTTTGTCATATAGGAAGATTGCTCTTGACATTATCCTCCTCCTCATCAGATCTGACAGTGGAGTGGAGTCAGGAGCGGACAGAAATCAGAGCAAATATGCTCCATAAGTTTGACCAAACAACATCGTTGGCTATGAAGTACATACATCTCTTCGTGCAGCAGCAGTCGTCTGCATGTCGCAATATGTCAGCTTCACTTCAGAGTGTGTTTACGACGGATCGGTTCTATCTACACACCAAAGTAACTCTTTATCTCTTCTTTAAGAAACAACCAAGTAGCTAAATATGTATTCATACAAAATCTTACAGCTTATTCTCGATATAGCATCTATCGTTATCAATACTTGCTCTTAAACGTATCGGATTACCCCATCAAAACAATATGGGATGGTATATATTTCAAAAACGATTTTTAAGAGAAGAAGTTGTACACTGAATAATGCATGGCTTCCAAATTCCTTGTCTTTAAATGTTTATTCGTTTTTTAGCATGTGCTGCGGGAGCTGGCCAGACATACTGAGACTTTCATCCATGGGGTATGACAGCAAGTCCTTTCGTACACCTATTCAATATATAGATGTTTATCTTCATTTACAATTCTAAATTAACTACAGTTAATGTGAGGATAAAGCTTACGAAGATATATTAATATAGAGTATCTCTGTTATACTTGTCATGTTCATATTTCATCTGTGATGTGAAATATTTCTTATAGCCCGAAGAAAATGATCTAATTTACAACTATCAAAGGAACGTTTTAGAAAATGCAAACTGTGAGATATACTGAGTCTGTACTTGAGGAATTTCCTCTTTATTTGGTGAATATACAAAGATTTGTCTCTATACAACACACATTGGTCATTGAAATTCGCAGTTGTTTTGTAAACTTCTCCAGATCTTTAATCGTAGGCAGATCTGTAATCATCTTGATGTAATACTCTTATTTTTGAACGAAGAAGGAATTAATTCGTCAATGTGAAATTAACATGTGTTATGGGGATAGCTACGTAGCTGTCGGATAAAATATTGACCCTCTCTTTCTTCCTTTACAAAATGGACCTTGATCTTTCTACAAAGTCCGTTGCTAATGTTAAAAAATGTTTACAGATAGACAACTGAACATGTCATTTGATGTCTATCCGGGGATGGCAAAGTGGCTTGGCTCGAGAATTTCAGGTGGAGGGAAGCCTGAATTCTCCAGGACCGGAGCCATTACTGGGACCTTCTTGGTTTAGAGGTGAGTATATCGGACTTAGTCTCACTCGCCATCCGACCTTCTAGAGACTTGGAACAGTTAGTAGCCAAAGGAAACACAAGTATCCTGAGGAAACACAAGTATCCTGATTCAATAAGGCGTGATGTCACTTGTGGGGATAGGTCTCGTTGGATGTCTTCTTGTAAGCATTGTTAGCTCACCCATATACTACTTCCCCGAGAAGGGTTTTCCTTAGAAGGTCAATTCTTCTAATGCCTTGGTAAATTTCACTACCCAGTAAGAAGCTGGATGGTAGAGCTTTATCTCTTACTGTTGTGTGTGACAGTTTGTAAGTGGGTCTTACCTTCTAGTTTAAATCAAGCCCTCTTATTTGACATCTCTTTGAAACATCTTTTCCTGCTCTCTTGTGCATCCGCAATGAAAGAAAGTTGCTAGGTTTAGGGCTTTGGACTGCATAAGGCTAGTTCAACCCACCATATATAGTTTTTATGCTGTACATTTGGGAAATGTACAGCATAAAAACCATCTGTTTCATAAGTTAGAAGTATATTAATAAAGTTATAGATTTACATTCAGATTTGGTACTGGGACAACAAGATCAAGAGTTTGAAATGAAGTGAGATGTGTTTCAATAACGGCTTCAAAATTACAGTGCTCGCATGCTAGAAATTCCCAGAACACTATAAGTGGACCTTAGAATCAAAGAAGTCATGTTGATTTTCAGAGAATAGCGAAACTTGTTAACTTAGTATTGTCTAAATTTTCATGATGATGAGTAAGAAGGAATCAGATCGCAGATTTAGAACGCACTGGCTCTTGAATGAATCTGACATCCAAAGGCAATCCTAGCGAGGAAAGAATTTATCCTGTCAACTGAGGTCTTAGAATGTGAGCATAGTGATTGATATGTTTTCACCTGCATGCAAATGGTGATAAACATTTACAGACCATAACCTGAATTGGAATAAATGTTTTCAGATACGCTAAAAAGGACAAGTGTACATATAATCGTACACCATATGTATTCTGAACAATTTATTTGCTAAATTAAGCTCGATTTCTACAGAATTATGGTGACGAACTTGTGCATAGCTTGCTGCAGCTGAGCACCATGGAACAGATTGCAGGTCAATCTTCCCATATCGTTGCGTTGGATTTGATAGCTTGCGCTTGATACAGAATTTCTTCGATTTTCAGCTTTCCTTTCACAGTCACTTTCTGCTTCATGCGATCGACGTCAACAGCGGTAACTCCTGTTTTCATGCACGTAAAATGGTCATGTTGATAACATATAAGATAAGCATAATATCGAAACTAAGTAAAAAGTAGGACATAGCTACTTCATATTTCCAGGAACCCAAAATTGACACATATATGCAAATTGCTCCCACCGAATGTAACATTATCAAGTACAGGTTTAACGACTGCACGGGTTCCATCATGATTTGATAACCCACAGAGCGATAGAGAGATGTTTTCTGCTTATTGTGTCCTAAAACTGATCCTGGCGACCTCAAAGTGGAATACATGACTGAAGTTTATGAGATTTCTTAAGATGTTATCCTTTTTCCTGTTGAATGTGTGGCAGCCCAGACAAGTACAAGTACATCCACTTCAGTTTTTACGTGTAATATAGGTGTCCAAAACCTTTTCTGTGCGTACGGGTGGCAGACAATGAATGAAAGATAGTGAACTAAGTGCACATGAAAGAAACGATGGTCTGAAGGTAGTGTGAGATTCAGGGACACAGATGTTTTCTCACCCTCCAGTGCTCCAAGTTTTTTCTGAACTTTCTCCAGGAAATCGTCACAGCAGATGGGAATCGCCAAGTCCACAACCTTCTGCTCATGTCAAATGGGTTATGTTCAAGCGTTAAGACATTTATACTTGGCATATTACACCCCAAACCTTCCCCCGCCATCAATTTTACCATATATGTGTTCATGCTTGTACACTCTGCAAACACAGCATCCATCTTTTGGTGACATTTGGTCGTGGTTCCAGTTAGAAACCAGCCAAACTGGTATTTTAGTTTGAGTATAATTGCTCGGAGGATAAGTTACGGAATATACTTGAGTTTTAGCAGCATGAGAAGGAACGCGGCCTGAAACTTCTCCAGATTTCCTCGGCCATCCGCGGGAGTTGTAAAACTGTGCAGACATGCAAATAAGTTGCTTAGACAATCAGGCTATCAAAATCGATCCAACGACCCCTGATCTCATGTGGGGACAACAGTTTCATACTGAACTTGCCTATGAAGGCTAAGCTGCAGAGAATAAAGGCACAAACTAATAGCTTTAGTAAGAAACCAGAATTTATCACGGATCTGCTATAAAGTGGCAAAGAAAGACCTTGCTCCAACTGGAAGGCTGATACGTGCCATGCATTCTACTTTGCAACAATTCACAATGCTTTTTTTACGCAGTTGTATATGTTTACTGTGATAAACCTGTGAGTGTCGATCAAAGGTCATAGGAGTATGAAAAACTGATCTACCGACGATCCAACCGGGATCGTAGCCACCATAAGACATCTGCAGAGAGGGTAAATCCAACAAAACGCGCTCATGAGCATTCAAGCTTATAGCTTCCGCTGGACTCCTTCAATTTCCTGAATGCAGATCAACTTCGCTTGTTTCACGAAGTTGAAAGTTGAAGAAAACCCGACCCAGTTCATTGCTGCAGCTTGCATGTTCACGTAAAAAGATGTAGCTGCAAAAATATAAGCTTTACGTACCGCATGGAAGGCCGCCATTGAAGACAAGCTGAGTATCTCTGACTTGATGTGAATGTTTAATTCGACGTGTTTTTACTTAACGATGCTGCTTATCAGGAATCGAAATGATAAAATTAAACTAAGAATTAATATCAGTTAGTAAGTATGTAGTAGCAAAGATGACGGATCAGAAAAGGTTCTAATAAAGCAGCAACTTCAGAGAAAACCACGACCTGCAACCAAGATAAAAAGCAGCTCAAACACTTGGAAGACTCGATGGCATCTACTAGTTGGGTGAACAGAACGATAACACAAAAAGATGCAGTTGAAAGATTGAAGCTATCAATTCTCCTAATCAGTAAGGATTATTGCCGAATGTATCCTGTATCGTAGAAAGTTGGACTCTGATCTCTGAACTGATGATTTTAAACCAGGCACATCTCTCTCCATTTATACTTCAAGCCGACAAAGTCATCAGTAATGACAGTCAACTGGTTCCTTGCCAGCAATGATGTCAAACCTCGGGAAGCTTAGCTAATATAGGCAGGATTTATGCTGTGGTTGAAAAGAACACAACTTTCGAATGAAGAGCGGGGGCAGCAGTTGAACCCACTTTGTTGCGAATTGTGTGAATCAGTATGTTCATTAGTCATGGTATTCCCCAACTCTGTATATCTTGAGAAGAACTAAGCGGCTTCACCAGCTCCGGGATACTGGGCTGAATCTCATGCTACCAGCTTTCACGCAAAGGTTCCAGAAAACTGGGGCAATATGACATGCCAGTACCATAACGACCTGATGTCCCTCCAGTCACTTGGCACACTTCCACCAAACGAGATCGCCTCTTTTCGTTTCGCTTGACTTGTATTCACAGGTGTAGTGGTGTATCAACTACAACGTCGCACACTTTAATTTGCAGTCAATAATGATACAGAAGAAAATTTTATATATACTTAGGTTCTTCCACTCCAGTGACTTATAATCAGCTGCAGTTATCTGACTCATTGTAAGTCGTCAGCTGTTTTTATGCCCCTATTTCACCACTCACCAAGTCTAGTATTCTAGAAGCATATGAGATTTTATTTTCAAGCGTCTTCCAGTCCGTCGAACTCTCTTGGGTCGACATTAGAGAAATGACCCTCTCAGTTCTCAAAGTTTCCTCTCGAGACCATATGCTCGTGGACTGAGAAACCGGCTACTATTCCAAATTCCAGCTTTGGTCTTGAGGAGCCTCATAAAATATGGCGTTCTATTTTTAGACGCCAGATTTACCATAATTAATCTGGACAAAGTCCCGTACGTTATAACGACGGCGGGGCACGGGGTGCACAGAATTAGAGCCTGCATGAGATTTTGAGTAGGTTCGTCGTGAATTGTTTCATGGTGAAAAGTGTGCGTGATCTCGATACATAGCGATTCTGAAAAATGGGATAAAGTGGTGTGATCGAACATCGTGAGGCGGTCCGGCCAATCCGGGAGAACAAAGAAACACCATTGTCTCGCCTTTCCTTTATTCATGGGAAAAAACAATAATATAATGCTAAAATGATTGTCTTCAAGTCATTGGACGAAAAATAGTGAAATAAATTTATTCATGCCAAAAATAAAATTATTTCATAATTTATTATTTATGTAATAATTTTTTACTTTTTATCTATCAATTCATATTTTGTTTATGTGATAATTATTAGTTTTACTTCATTTCGTCACCCCAGGTTAAAATTGAAAAAATTAAAGAAAAAACGAGATGATTTCACTCGGATCATTACACATATTGGAAATATTATATATCTACCAAAATTAATTTGATTTGGCAAACCCGGCATTTGCCAAAATTAATAAAACCTGATCTTGAGGCAACTACATTATTCCTGCCCTACATAAAACAGATATTCGTAAAACAGACGGCTTTCTGAAACTCAACGCGTACCTCACATTTAAAAAAACGATTTGTCTTCCCCAGTGGTGTGTGCATATACATTTCTATGATACCGTTGCAATTGCTGGCTGGCTTTTGGTGAACATCACTTCATTTGAAGTGCGCCATTTTGATGAATTTTCACTGTATCATTTCTGAAATTGAAATTTAATGTATGAATGAAAATGATTATATGAAGTAGATGAGTTTGAATTGGAATGTTGGATACTCGTGAGTATATAGATAATTCATCCCATGTAACATTGTTTTTTTACAAGGCTTTATCATGTTTAAGTGTACAATCTAAATTAGATTCTCTAAAACTAAAATATGAATTTAGGTTTCATTACGAAGCTAAAATTTCTTATACCATCGTTGAATGGATAATGTATCTCTTGAACAAAATGATATGATAGGAACCGGGAAAAGAAGAGGTCAGATAACTGCAACAAAGCAATCTGGGTGGATGTCCAACCATTTTCAAACTGTAAACTTGCAACCTAAAAAAAGAGGCAAATGCATGGATATCAACTAATCCACAGATGTAAAACTGGCACTGCATTCAGTTCATACTTTCGACGTTACATGCCTCGTCGCAGCATTACTGTACTCAGACTGACCGTACCCTTCAATGCCACGTGGATGTCCACGAGGGCCAGTGTCTGCAGGCAACGTTCGTGTCTCCGTCGGACTATCCTATTCGCCAGTCAGCGAGGTTCTGTCTTCGATTTGGAGTCCTGATTCCTCAGGGATTTACGGTCTTTGAGCGGAATCTTTCGGAAATCATAGCTCGGCCTCTTCCGAGTTCCAGCTCGGGCATGTGAAGACGGCAAATCTGATCGTCCTCATTTTGAAGCACCGAGCTTCCACCGGGCAGAACACGGGTGCAGCTATCAAGCAGCCAGCCGCCGACGAGGCCTATCCTCTCCGAAGGAGCCATGACTTTTATCATACATATACTCTACAATGTGTCAAAAGCGTCCTTCTAGTCAGTCTATGCAGGTGTGAGCCAGGGTAATGAGTGCATTCAAGTCATTCAAACAATCGTCTTGAATTAGGATGGGTAAATAATGAATTGGGGACAAACTTGAAAATGATGAACAGACCTCTTCAAACGGTATAATTGTGAAACCTATTAGCTACCATGGGCTAAGGACCCAATAGTACACAATTAAAATTCAAATATTTTTTTTTGCTGTATTGACTCATGTATACGATTCTTCTAACATAAAAAAAATTTCAACCAACAAGAGTGTCTGCCACTATATCACCAAGAATAATATATTATTACATTATTCTTCACATTGCTTATGTACTTTTTGTAAAGTACTGAAAAAAATTGACTTAAATTTGCTTCACAATAAACTAGGAAAAGTATTACTTTCTTATATATCAATAAAGTGACCTTTCCTGAACTCGATCATTTAAAATTAAAAAAATTGGTTTAAGTGCTCCTCATAAATTTGAATTTATGGAACAGAAAGTTGATTTTTTCTATACCTCGAAATCTTCTTGTTGTCTTCTGGCTGTCTCCCCTGTCCAGAAAGATGAGCATACATAGCCTTTTGAAACTGTAAAACGTGTAGGTAATACCACTAGTTTTACAATGGAAATTTTCTATTTCCAAATCAAGTACGGATATATTCTAATCCGAGTTTGAGTGCAACGTATACCAAAGTTCACTGTATAGTAGGTATCTACAGTCCCTTGCTATAGCATATATTACATGAGTAGACATCATCTGTATTTTTAATGCTCATCTAGTCATGTGAAATATCCATTCAGAATTGTATAAGAGAGAAGTCGATTATGAATCTCTTGCCAAAAGATGGATTTTTATTTGTTTAAGTAACATGGGAAACGGCAAATATAAAAAACCTTACATATATGTGTCCGTTTTGTTATGACGAGGTTTCCTTCCAGAAATCCTGATATGGATAAAATGTACCCAACAATGGTCCAAATTATGCCAATCCAGGTGCAATTCATTGAAGAGGAAGACAATTATTCTCTGTACTCTCGAGGCTCCCAAGGATTATCACAGTGGAATGATATGGTAACAATCTTGGATAACCTGGGGTCCAGATGTGGGCCAGGACCATCTTCTCAATGCGGAGATTGAGCTGCTGACCTCCTCTACGTGACCCGCGAAATCGAGATCATGGACCCGCTAAGTCTTGCTCGATTCCCAGCCCGTTCGTGCATCGAACATGCACTTTTGAGGACCTGGAGCTTCTTGTCGAATGGGAAGGCAATGGTGCATCCATCAGCCGATTTGTGTCAAAGACCAAGACCCTTGTGTTCATGTCGCCTTGTGTGGTCGAAGTTCTTCCCGCCGGGTTCTCAATCGCCAGGCCATGTCCTGAATCCGCTCCTACGAAACACACCACAGCTGTATGTGAAGGAAAGCTCTTGACAACGCACCGACGCCATTGAAAATTCCCGAAACTATTAAATATTCATATTCACCATTATTCTTATTCTTCACTCGACTGAAGTCTCGATAATAAACAAATCTTTGACCTCAGTAAAGAATTGTTGAGTGTGTCCCCTCCCTTCTGTCCCGAGGTTGCAGATTGAGGACTTCCGCCCGGAATCTCTTGCACTCATCCTGCACTCTCGGTCGGTACGCCAGAGTGACGGATACCTTCAATTAACTTGCGGCGTAATTCGACCCGAAGCTTTCGCGCTCTTCCGGGCTTCGATTCCCGGCAACGCTCTGCGGTGGACGCAACCGGATCGAGACTGCGTTATCCACGAGGGTACTACGGCATTCGGTTCCGGAAGATGTCCATGCTCCCTCCACGAGAATCGTCGTCCTCGACCTCGCCCACCAATCAAGGTCCGAGGGCAAAGCCCGGTCGCAGCCATGTGACTGCGTAGGGAGACTGCAGCTCGATGAGAGAACTGCAGTCGGCGGAGATTCTACCAACCAGGATGCCGTGCCGGGTGGGATCGGAGCGTGATCCACAGTCTCAACTCTGAGTCCGGAGTGAGAGTCGATCACGAGAAATCTGTTTACGCCGTCGCAGTGATTGCGCACTGCATGCACTCGCGTCAAGGCGACCGCGGGTCACTCACGGCTGCAGGTCGTCGGTTGACCGCCGGATTCGGTGCTCGACGACGGACCGGCAGACAGGCAGGGAGGCAGCCAGCGAAGGCGAGGGAAGGCGAGGATACAATCATCGAGCCATGTTCGTGGCTGTGCGCATCACGAGGACTTTCAGTCCCCAGCTGTTCATGCAACTGTGGCAAGAGATCTTGCGGCGTTTTGGGGCGTTTTGGGGCCTGGCAGCATCCACACGCAGCCCGGCCCCTGCACTGGATCGCCCGAAGCATGGCACGAATCGTATAAAGGCCGATGGACTGGGCCTCGCAGCACAGTCAGTCAGGCAGCCAGTCAGTCTGTCCGTCAGACGTAGTGAGTGAGTGAGGGAGGGAGTGCGTGCCTGGGAGGTGCGCTGCGTTCCGGAGCCTTCTTTCTTCGGACTCGGTTCTCTTTGGAAAATTGGGCGAGAAGTTCGAAGAGGCGCACCTCCAGGCGCCGATCCGATCCGGCTGGAAGTGAGCGAGGAAATTGTGGGTGGTGACTAAAAATAAATCAAGTGACAACGTTGTTTTGTTCGAAAATCTCTTTCAGCTGCAGCTGATTCACAGGTTCAGCAGAATTCTGTTTCGTCGTGTTCCTCGTCGTCCTCCGACCAGACGGTCAGAATGGCGGATGCTGGCCAGTGGGAAGTTGCTCGGACCCTGATCAAAATGGTGGCTATCTGTACAACGCTGTTCGTTGTCACCGATTGTAAGTGGATCCACGTTTATGAATTTCTGAGGAAAGTGTCGTCGGAGGCCTGAGCCTGTGCAGCCAGCAGTCTGTCTGTCGTTCTGTCTGTCACTACATCTCTGTGGTCCCAATGAACTAGTCCTTTTTCTCCGAGCTCTTGAGCTGAATTAGCTTCAGACTCAGACTGTGCAGACGTGCACGCAAGCACGCCCATGTCTTTTTGCGATGAGTCTGACGAGAATGGGATGCACAGATTGACCTTCACTGTCACATAATTTGCTCGTTAAACTGACGACATTTCGTGCTTCCCATCGCATGTGTCTCAGATGCAACAATGTTCTCCAGGTTCTGTTACAGAGTGTATACAGGTGGGGCATCGCTGTGAGAGGAGCTTGTACAGACGCGGTTCGTGAGGCCAACTCCGGCAGATGGGAAAAACTATAAAGCGTCTAGCGTTAGCTTGTGAAGCACGAGTGCTGTGTCTAAAAGTGTATATTACTTGATAAAGCTTGGGCTTCACGAGCTTTACTAGCTTAGTGACGTTAATACCTGAAGAGCCTAGACTGATTGGGAAATTTAAAAAGCAGGAGCGATGCACATTGCATGGAGAATATGTCCTTTGTACAGATTCTGATGTTAGAGATTGGCAAAATAATACGTTAGCCTTTTACTGGCTTCATCATTAATATACCTACTTCATTCCACGTGAAAGCCGTGTGTCCTGCATGCACCGAGACAGAGCTGGTGATTTCATAAACTCGAAATGACTCGAACTGACCACATTCTCTTTCACATACCTGTTCCTACGGTGACTGCTTGACGTATGCTTTCACCACAAATTTCATGTCTGCTGCACGTCACTGATACCAACGAGACTACCCCCGAGCCAGCAAATCCAAGAACATCTGTTATCTCATCATCGGCAGGGGCTCTAGGCTTGCCATTGCAATCACAGTTGGCAGTCTTATGTTTAAAAGAGCAGAAACGAACATGTCACAACTGTGGGTGGTGCTTGACCAAGACTCTGGATCCAAAGGACTGCAAAGACTCGATTCGGAATCAGATGTTGCACACGGTTCATACATGAGTTCCCATCCTATCCACAATCGCGTCATGACGAGCAGCAAACTGAGAGCAGAAATATTTCATTCTTTCTAGTGTGAGTTCACTCGACCTCTGACATCAATGTACTAAATGTGCTGGCATCTATGAAGACCCGGATGGCCAGGTCCGTCCTAGAAAACGAGCAGGAACTATTCAGAAAGGTACCAAACAGACAGGAAGTGACAACCAGCTCGGCAACGAACGCAACATAGCACAAGATATTCACCTCGATCGCAAACTAGGCTCTTCTGAATAGAATTGAAGATATGAGCTGAGCACAGTACTTTGAAAACATTATTATATTCTTATGCAGTCCATTATATACATCTCCACAGTGTTGTCATGACGGCAGAGAACCTGCTCAAAAAAGTATAGAACAGTGTTGTGCGATCAAAAGGCTTGAAACTGTCAATGGAATAATATAATACGAAGACTCTCATGGATATGTCTACCGAAGCCTTTTCTTCGAGAAACGCAAGATAACTCGTCACAAGTAATAGTGGCGTCTTCAAAACCCTTTTTAAGCTGATGAAATTCCACGTTTCCACTCAGTCTAACCTCACACAGTAGTCAAGGCGCTCAGCCGTTGTGTGGTTGACAGTAATGTTGATGGTAGACAAGCTGTGACTGTTAGGTACAATTGGTCAACTCAAATAATGGAATCGGAAATCACTGAGTCACTCTAATAATGCGATAGTCACAAAGGAAGTGTATCAGCCATTCGTCTTTTGCCTTCACCGCTTCCCTATGTTGCCCCTTTTTTACTCGTAATGAGACATGTGATACTGTATTTCGAGAGAAGGCAGAGACAAAACTCTAATCTAGCTGGAAGATTTCATAATAGGAGCCTACCATGCATGGGACTAGAGGAAAGAACGCTCGTTGCAAATATAGTTACCTTTGACCTTATTTAAAGTCCATACGGAGTAGCTGTGGCTTTTAATGTCGGCCCCCAAAGACACAGAATATATTGCAAGCGCTAAGGTTGTGTATGTTAAGGATGGCGGGATACTATATTATGAGAGAAAACATGGCTTGCATTCATCATTATATCTCTTCGACATGACATTAGCTTTGCATTTCACTACTGATTAGCAACAAAATCGGAAGACAAAATTTGTTTGATTTTTTTCATCACACGCAAACTTAAGGAACAAATAATTAATGTGAACCTGGTCATCAAAGAATTCTTTACATTCAATTTGAGATAGTTACTTAAAATATGTTATTCTCATCTAAAACTTAAAAAAAAATGACAAAAAAATTGCACTAGGTCTTTCAACTCAAACGAATCAAATTAATTAATATTTATTTTGGTTGAAGAATATAGAGCGTTAGTTGATCTATCATGAGAACTTCGATGTTATGTAAATTTTCAATTTCAATATTTACTTAGATCGTTGTAACAGAACTCGAAATTATGTCACTCAGGATATAAAGTGAATTGATATAAAATTTAATATTGAATAAGTGAATTAATCTCTAGATTCAAGAAATATTTGTTGAAAAGTGCTAGAAGTAAATAATGCCTCTTGGGAATGTAAGGAAAATCATAATTCATAATATAAATTCATATTTTAGTTTAGTGAATCTCCAAAAATATTCATCCTTGGTTAGGTAAACACTAGTTTACATCAAATTAAAAAAATGACTAATATAAAATTTACAAGATATCTTGAATTTTATTCAAAACCTGAATACACATCATGAGTCAACTGCAAAATTATTAAAATTTTGAAATTTTAAAAAATTCTAAAAATTCTAAAATTTGCTACAAAGCGGAACCCTCATTTTAAGTTAAATCGAATTGAAAGGAGAAAATTCGGAAATATTTTTAGGAAAATTTAATAGATTATTTAACTTGTGAGTTTTCTGAATCCCATTTTCTAATTTTCAAGAATATTGGAAAAAAAATTCATGATAATCTGGGTACTTCCCAACTTCTTGAAAAGCCAACGGCATAAGAAAACGAAAATTCATGATTGATATACATCTTTGACTATTGTATTGTGATCCCATGTTAACACATGTTATAACTCAGCTTGTAAAGCGGTGACGGAAACGGTGTAGGCAAATGGGTTAAGTGCTGGATTCGTAAAGTTGTGAAGGAAAACAAGGAAAAACTATACCTTTATCTACTCCTTCATATAGGATAAACGTACCACTCGAGAGCATTGTGCTCCATCATCATGTTAACATGATGTGCTTGATAGGGGATAGATCAAGGTACGGCAGCAAAACTTTCTCACAAAGACTCTGAAATTCGATGTTATGCCACCCTGATAAACAGAAAATAAAATGAAGTGAGAACCCGCAAATTCTGTGGCAGATGAGAAAGCCCGCTCTGGAGATACTTTCCTTCTGCTTTTAACTTCCAAAGATTCCACATATTGTGAATTTGACATATGGAGTTGAAGCCTGCTAACAATCTGGGATCTCTTTTCAGTACCTGATGGAAGTGTCGATGGAATTCCGAGAGGGTGCGATATTCGTGGAGCCTTAATCTGCCTATCAAGTGGTGGAAACACAGGCCCTCACTTCATGTCGAGACTGACTTCTCTGTCTTTCAAGACACATTTGTCAATTTACATCAAGACGTGACAACAACGGGTGACTTGACGTTCGCATGAGTCCAATAAGAATGACCCATTATGATGAGAGGACGATTCTTGTCCATTGTCATCTTGCCCATCTTTCCCATTGGTGACACCTAAATACTTTACTTTGTGACATAGTGTTTCACACTAACTTTAGCATCTTAGTCTTGCTTCTTCAACAAAATTGTGGAGTATTCGCTTTCTAATGCTGTTCAAAGGAAATTACTTGATGACACCCGATGGGAAAACAAATTGCTTGATGACACGCATCACGTATCGTTTTACACAATGGCACATCGTCACCAAGTTCTAAAAAAGGGTTCTGTAAATACTTGCTACTGGTTACAGTGTGGGGAAGTGTTCGCTTGGAAGTTCCAACTGGGTTGAATCTATCTTACTAGTTCTACGACCAAATGCGTGTATGACCTTGAGATCCCAGCTTGGAAGTTCCAAGCTGACCAACTGCGGTTATGACCTTGAGATCCTAGCACTAACGTTGGACTGGATTTCAATTCGATGTGATCAAATTCTATTTGAATTTGCAAACTACAGGAAGATGTTTGCTTCAAGAATGAGTTCTCTTAAAGTCCAACTCCTTGCTGAACAAGGAACTTCTGTCGTGGGAATTACGGAGGTTTCTCAAAGACGATTGTCACTGGTATGCGTGAAAGGTCTGAATAGACAACAAACTCATGGTTGGGGATGTAGAGACCGATTATTTTCAAACAGAAGAAGACATAGTTTCCATCTCTCGTTTGCCCAACAACCATTGCAATTGGAGATTAGTGTCGGATCCAAGGTTAGTGTTGGGACTAACTAGTGTTCGTTATCGCGTTGATCACAAAGTTATTTCAAGAACTTTTTTGTTACGGTGTGCCGATGTGACCCCACCAAGGGCACACCGTCACGAAGTTCTTATAATAATCTTGAGATCCAGGGTGAACACTAGTCTCAACTCTAACCAATATATTCTTTTGTTTCAGTATACTCCTTCTATCGGTGTTAGTGAGATACCATCTGGTAAAACAAAACTTGATAGATTCCATCAAGTTATTTGTGTTACGATGCTATAGATTCACATCAAATAATTTACTCTGTTGTTCACTCTATCGCGTTTCCTATCTCTCCAACATCTTGTTATGTCTGACTGATTAACTATATATGTATTGATTCTAAGCAATGTATGTATACATTTACATACATATATATAAGGATAGTTATTGATTATTAAAGAATAATTAAAAAGATCATTTGATTTTCTTAATTCTTGCCGTATCATTTACGTCACTTGTTGTAAATCGTAATTTTAATTCACAAGGTGGAACAATATATTGTGAATAAAATAAATTACACAATAAATTAAAAAAATTACAAAGCTTCGCCTAATTTTAACATAGGTAATATTGTCTACTTTTGTAAAATATAAAATTTTGCATCTATAACTTCGTATAACATCAATGTTACATAATAAAGAATACTTCTCACGAAATGTATCAAGATTAATTTCTTACAACAAAATCATAAAAAAGAACCCTTGAATCAAGTTACGAACACAGAAATTATTTTTTTACCTCCACCTTCAGGTTGTTAAATTGCGTGAGTTAATGAATATTGCGTGCTTGTGAATATCTATAAAGTTCCAAAGTCGATAATTGTGAAATGTGATGGCTTGTCTCAAAAATGTTTGTCAATCTTTCTTATAAACTCTCACCCTTTGTACTCCCTATTTCATGACTAAAGATCACACCAGTGTACATGCATGCACTAGCTGCTCCTAGTTTGCCACGCAACCTTACCAGTAAATGTTACCTAGTCATTTTCAGTTATTTGATGACGGACAATGAGTAGGATCCAGCCCTCTCGAAATTAGTCTGCAGAACTTGCATGGATGTCATGGAGCTGAGGTATAAGGCTGCAAATTTGCAGACGATAGACCGCACAGTGGTACCTCGTTCTAAACAATGATGAATGCACTATTGAGTAACGTCGGGAGTCGTTCCATACCTGCCAGTTTTCAGGATATGCAACAAAAAATCTCCAATATGTCCAGAGTATCAATGACCTCGGGACGCTCGACCAGTTAAGAAATACGTCCTGCCACAAGTGCTTTTTCGTCCTTTTCTCTCTCGGATGAATTTCGTTTCCAATCATCCTTCGTTGCGTCTCTCTCCTGACATGTTTCTCGCTTTTATGCTGAAGCTGGTAGGCTGGACTGTTTGAAGTAGAGAGCTGCCGTTTGCTTATTGAAGAAAGCATTCATGCAGCGGAGTGTATTCAGTTATACCGCGTTCGCTACTTCGGTTCGATGTTGCACACATGCAAGCGTCGAAGGTACAAAGGCAAATTTATAATATTGAATGTGCAAAACAGGTTGTCCGCTCTTGTTTTCCTAGGGCGTTTGACAGTCACTTTCGACATCCGACATCAAGATGTAGGATATCGCTTGTGGTTTTATATTTAATTGTTTCCATTTTCCAATCGGTTTTGATTGTTTCCGATTAACAATTATAATCTACGATGTGTTACAGTTATCATATCATGTGATAATTATCTATTGGCTCTTCACTGTGTTCTTCAGTATAAGTCTTGAGACTTCTGTCAACGTCATCGCCATACCTAAGAAATGTTTTGAGAAAAAACTGGGTGCAGGAGGACATTCCTCCAGATGAAGATGTGCGTAACCGGCAATCTGACTATCAGTAGAGAATTGGGGGTCAACCCCATAAGAAAGCAGAAGCTGTGACTAGCATAACCCACTCACCATCTGAGCAGTTCCTGTGAAAGGTTGCTCATAAAAACCAAGGGTGTTTTAAGGATATTGAACATGCCTAAGTAACACGACGCGTATACAAGTTTGTTTATTTCCTGATTATAACGGTTAAGATAACACTTATTGCACGCTGCTCATCTCCTGACAGCAGAACTCGATCGTTGGGCCAAACTAAATTCATTCAGATCGAAATTGTCCCGTGGGCAGGAACGCAGTAGGCTAGGAGTACAATTGTGCCATGCTCACTGTCACGTTGTCGCTCTTACAAGGAAGGCGCCGGTTATTTTGCTCACCACAGGTGACCACAAACAGATGCTTAGATGGTAAAACTACGACAGACAAACCCTTGTTTGTCTGTCGTAGTTTTGCCCTTGCATGATCAACCTCGTGGGCTCCGCATGCATGGGCACCGAAGCAACTCAAGTCTACGTGGTTTGTCTCAAGGGTGTAAGCGACATATATCAGGTGGAAAGAAGTATAAAGACAGACATATAACCTACAGCTCTCATAAATAAACTCTAAAGTGAAATGGATGAAAAACAAGTGAAAATCGAAGTGGAAGCAGACGAGGAATAGAGAACGGTGGAAAATAAAAGGCAATGGTAGCAGACCAGTTGTCAGATTGACAGTGCTGGGTGAGCTAGAAGAGGAACCCCTCCGACGCAAGAAACCTCCCAGTGACCATCAAGAATATTGAGCTAAAAGTTATTTCCCGTTACATGGTCTATGCTGCTTGACCAGTGGACACCAAGGTGCATAGGTTTCTGCGCTGGACCGCGCAGGTGCTGAGTAGATACGGAAGCCGAACAAGTCAAGATGAAATCGACGGCTGTTGCCCACACATATGTCATTTACTGGGAGAAACCAACAAAAAAATTGGAAGCCTAATCCTAGAAGGACTGAGGTAGTCTAGTTCGGCTGGAATCATCCTCGAACGAAGAACCTATAAACTTAAGCATAAAGCATGAGGCATTCAGAAGCAATAACGGAAAAAGTAATCATCATGTCGGTCTCAGCCAGGAAATAGATGGGCCCTTGTAACTGATTAGAGAACATGTGTTTCAAACACATTATCGCGTAAAAACGTAAGGCCGAACTAAACTTAAAGACAGTCTTGTGAACATCTCCCCGCCGTGTGTAAGTAACCTGTCGTAAAGAACGGAAAATTCACATTTCTGATACCATTGAATGAACATTTTCCGATGCACACTACGACTGCAAAATGTAGTCCACTCAGGGCATCTCGTGAATGACATTGGACCCATACGCATTGGGAACAACTCGAGAGACCACACACGCAGAAAACCTGTGACACGACAGCTACAACATCATGCGCAAAGAGAGATGGGTGATAAAGCTGGTCCTTTCGCATGACCTTCATTCTGAATGAAATGAAACCAATCCCCTAATAAAGCGACGGATAATTTGGTATTTGCCAGGTTGTACTGGTAAACAAGTGACATGCGTGGACAAACATTGGGCGAGTCTTGTACATGCTCAAGCCACAGAGATTGCATGATTGAAATCCTCCTACATGGTGAAGGTTACTGTAGTCCTCAGATAACTTCCTACATTGATCCATATTTAATCAATGCCCTCTATGAGAAAAATGGATGAGGGCTTAAAAGGAGAGCTTACCTCTTACAGCAGGGAAGAGACTTGATATTCTTGGATTCAGAGTTCAAACGCTTTCACTATTTCACACATTGAGATGAGCCTGGGCCGGCTCTCTCACAGGGAACACTAGACAACACCGCTGATGGCCATATCAACGACCGCTTAAGATATTTCAAATGTTACAATTCGACAAGTATCAAATCTACCTACCTAGGTATAAAAATATCTGAACGACTCTCGAGATACTTATCTTCTCCATCCACCTCACCCTCCGTTCCCCAGAAAGCGTTGGGCTGGGATGGCAGTCTGTCTGCATATATGTACAATCCAGGTGATGCCCAGTGAAGAGGGAAGAACAGAGCTTTAGTCGTTGGTTGCTGCCGGTGCAACCACCCAGAGAACACCTACCTCGTTCTAATTTTTTGATTGGCAAAAATGACATCTGGATTACGAATGTGTGGATTCAAAGCCGCCACTTCTTTCCATTTCGAGCCGGTACCGTGCACTCGTGCAGAAATACTCCACAACGATTCACCTGGCTTGACAGTAGTTTTCGCGGCTTGAGGCTTGGATTTAAGTGCTGGGTGCTTCGACCCAGCAGCACTTTTCCCCATACCATTGGCAAGCAACCACCGCGAGCCTGATTGTTGTTGCTTTTGACTGCCCCAAGCTTTTTTCGGCTTGCTCTCCTGGGCTTTACTTTGTGACTCTTCGCTGGGCTTTAGACCGGACATATGAACAGCTGTTATCTTAAACTGAGGCTGCTGAGGAGCTTCTGCTTCAACTTCATCCTCATCATCCCACCTCCTCTCTGAGTTTCCGAGCAGTGAAGGGGCTCGTCTTGGAATCTTAGGACGAGGAGGGACAATAACCCGCTCAGCCTGGACCAAAGCCATCATGGGTGCGCCAACTGGTTCGTTGTTGCGCAGAGGATCTCGAAGCTGGACTAACATGGCAATAGTGAGCATATTGCCCATAAACCCGCCTTTCCCAAAATTTGCACTAGCCTTGGCACCTTGCAGGTACCTGATTCTGTCGTCCCTACCCCTCGTTACTAAATCCTTGTGCACAGCACCATGTGCAGCCAAAATCGCAAGTGTGTCGTCTTTCGTATCATTCTCGTCGTACATTCCAGCATCAAGTCGCATCCACTCATCGATTGAAATAACCTTAGACATCAATCCATCAGTTCCAGATGTTAAATGATCATCTCCCAAATCCCTCGCACCAAGAAGGTGCATAGCTGCGACCCCATCCAAAGACCCTAGACCTCCCTTTCTGAACTTTCCTGATGAATCAGAAGATCCCATGTCATATGGCAGAGAATCAACACTGTACGGTGCTGTCTCGTCAGTCATGTCTGCTTGTATCTTAAGACCATCCATCGCCAAAGCTTCAATTTTCTGCATAGCCATTGGTGCAAGTTCCTCGAGATTCACAAACTCGTCAGACGGGTCAGTGAATCCGCCCGAGCCTCGCCGATTAGCAACACCCACAGAACCAGACCGTGAGCGACGATTTTGTCTACCGGAGTCAAATCCTTCATGGTATGGGCTCATCTGTGTGTTGTATCTGAAAATCAACAGCAATTCGTTCATAATCCTGTCTATAACTCATTGTCACGCGCAGTGTTGAAAATTCTAGCAATTTCCGAATTGTGAACGAGAGACGACATTCTCTTGCGAATAATAGAAGATTGCATGCAACACCATAGATGTGTGAAAGACCTTACCCGTTACTAGGCAAGTAATTCTGACCATAACTTGGTCCCTCCAACGATGTTTTCGATTCGTAGGCGATTTGGTGCACACTCTTGCCGGTGATGTCCTCCAAGGGCATGGCAACCATCGCTTGGAGAGCCATGGTATCTAATCCGCCCGATGCCATGCGACGGAAGATGTCCAGCCCAGTGGAACCCATTTCTGATGGTACGACAACGGGCTTTGATACCTGCATCACCAGCCTGCCACTACCGCCCTGATTGAAAAGCAAGGGGTTCAGTGATCTCAGCATGCCTCCATCTTTCGTCTGCAGCACAGGACCGACTCCCTGTGCCAAGGCCGGTGGCTCTGCTGGGATTCTATTCGCGAGTTGATTGTCAATAGCATCAAGAAAACCCTGGGCCGGCTTAGGAGGAGAACTCTGGAATGCTCGCTCATTCAGTCCCCACTCTTGCATGAGGGCTTCTGTCTCTGCATCTTCCAACATCTTTGCTCTGGTTTTGCTTCGCATCGTCTGAGTCGCTTTCTGCAGCTCCGATTCTGCTGCTTCCATAATTGAGGCGAGTTCCAGGTCTTCCTCACTTTGCCAGCCCCCATGAGCAAACTCGTCAGACTGGAGACCAGATTCATACTGCCGGGAATCCTCCATCCCATCCAAACTGAATTCTGGAATTTCGGGAACACCCATTCGAAGCCCGATTCCCCCTTCTAGAAGAGCCTCCTGCTCGAACTGCTTCAAGAGTAAAGCTCTTGGGGAATCGTTCTCGCTGTCGGAACTCAATCCCATTAGAGTCCCTCCACCACCTCGGTCCCCACCTTCGAGCATGTGCAGAAACTCTCCAGCGATAAGATCGACTTCATCGTCTAGGTCGTCGATCGGAGGTGGTGAAGGTTGAGGGTTACTATTATTACGGTTGAAAAAACCAGGGGAAGAATTATAGTTCTGCTCCGATGCCGAAGCATTCATGTTCCGCCACATCTCGTCCTCCTGCTGCTTCTCGTACGCTGGTTCCCTAATCTCCTCATGAGTGGCGGAAGCAAAAGAGTGTGCATGCGCAGTCTCCCATCGCTCAAATTCACCATCCCATTCCTCCTCGGCTTCTTGCCTTCTACCCCCGGGCACCTCCTCCGCCCGCTCTTCTCGCGATGACCCTACTGTTTCCGGGAATTGCTCCACGTCTTGTACTCCCCGACTACCCGACGCCACCTTGTCCTCCTCGCGGGATTGTTCACGCTCCACCGGGACAACCTCCCGGACTACGGTTACTTCGTCATCAGGGTGCTTACTCTCCTTGTCGGACACTCGTCCTGTCGATCCGAAAACGACATCCAGGTGATCTGCCGCGGCTGCTGCTGCTTGGTGTTCCTCAATCTCCTCTTCATCCTGCTCCTCCAGCTGCTCTTCTTCGAACACGGGTTGGACAGGTCTGATACGACTCTGATTAACGGCTGGATGAAGTGGGCTCTGTTGTTTCTGATACTGTTCTGGTTGCGCTTGATGTGAAAGCACAGTCTCAAAAATCTGGACCACAGTTGGAACATGGACCGGTGATGTCACTTCCACCTCCGAATTCCCGCGTCTTAATCCTCTGCTAGGCCCGCTACTGCTGCTGCTAGTGGCACTGACTGGTGTCCTTTCAACGACGGATCTCTCAGAGGGTGGGCTCAGTTCAACCGGCTCTCTGTTAATGGACTTCCCATGGTCAATGTATTCCGGAGTTGCTGCTAAGCGTTCCGGAGTTGACAAGCGCTCTGGAGTTGTGCTCTGATAATCTGCAGCTTCTTTGGCGAATCTGGATTGAGAAGAACTTGAGTGCGTGATACTGTCTGGCAAGTGTCCAACTTCGACCCCCTGGTCCACCACAATAAATTCTTGTTCATCTTCATCAGAGCTAGCATAGGTAGCACCTCGGATAGGGACATCAGCGGCAGAAAAGCTTTTGGGCTCAGCTGGTTCTACATACTGCTTGGGGGTGGAAGGAGCCAGAGCGGATTCTCCACCTGGATAGGACGGAGTTTTCAATTTCGACTCGGAAGGATAGAGACCCTTGGGAGGCTTACTGTTAAACTCTGGGCGCCCATAAAGCTTATATCTGTGATCAGCGGGGTTGCTAACGCTCGACCGGGGAGCCTCCTGGGGGGTCGACTCGTCGAGATTCAAATGCTCCATGCCCATGTGATCGTAATAATCACCAGGCTCAGACATTGTTGGCGAGAGGTACTGGTTCACGTCCGAAGGCCTGGGACGAGGGGTTCCATGGGCCGAGTGTGGCAAGCTATTAAACGAACGAAGGGAAGGAGACGGCATCGAAGGAGAAGGCGAACCAATCACGGATCCAAAACGTCCACTCTTGTCATGCTTATCTTTCTGTAGAATTTCGTAGCCAAAGGTAACGACCAAGGTGCCTCCCTTGGCTTTCCCGGACAGCTTGAAGCTAGTTGTCCAACTCAAAGGTTTGTCCTCATCCTCGTGTTCGCTGTCGGGGGCTTCAGGGAGCAATCGGCTCAGGTCCAGTCGATGCTCTCCAAGGTTCAGCTCGTCCACATCAAGGGCAACCACACAGAGAGTGAAGGCCTTGGGCATGTACTTAACCGCATGGTGTGCACTCTTATGACCATAAACACTGCACCTGAGCTGCAAACTCTCTTCAAATTCTGCTGATCCCTGAAAAACACGAGAAGGCATAGTCTGTGCAGTTCTGTCCTTGTGGCGCCAGTGTACTGTGAGTCGTAAACCATTTATGGCGGGTGGCAATCCTTCAATGGCGTGCACGTGCACAGTGAACAAACAATTGTGCCTAGTGTGTCCAATGTGCGACAAGGTCCGGAATGGTTTCCAATTCCATATGCTCTTCTTTTTCTCAGGGGCAGCCTCCAATTTCTTGCTGAAGTTGATGTTATCTTCCAGCCAAGCGGGAAAGTTCGTTACCTCTGGCAGATTCTGCTCAAACCCTTGAGAGTGCCATGGCTGAAGCTTTCTTTCAACACGAGGAACCGGAGACTCTTCTGCATCGAAAGCTCGAGGGGCAGCAATGGAGTGCCTCACGGGTCGCGATTTGACAAGCAAATCACCTCTTTCCGGGTCCTCGTACAAGGGCGCCGAAGGTTTGGCAGATATCGAGTGTCGGGTATGCGGAGTTTTACGCACGGGGCCCTGGCTACTAGGGTGAGGGCCACCGGGCGAAGGGGGGCCATTCTTGGAGAAAACATCATTCAAAGGCCGAGCAGGCAACGTTTCCCTCCTCTGCAGATGGCCTCCAATCTCCTTCCGCGGGGCGACCACGGGGGGCGGGGTACCCACGGGACCAATATTCTGCGCCTGGCTGGCCTTGTACAAGGCTTGGCTCAATGCCTCCAGCTCCTGCAGCAGATTTGCGCCCGTATCCTGCCGAGACCTGGCGACCCCGCCCGGCGAATTGGGCGCGGAGCTCACCATCTCCCGCTTGCCTCCACCCCAGCCCCAGCGGCCCCCGCCACTTTCTCTGCGTCCCCGCTCCAGCCTGCCCGCCTTTCAATCCACCTGCTTCCGCGTATTTCAAAAATGGTCGGATTTCTCGTGCTCCGTCCCTCTCGCACCGCACTGCACTGCACTGCACGGAACTGCCCAACCTCCTCGCCTCGGCACTTCGCTCTGGCTCCTAGCACGGGCCGTTCACCATCGCCCTCGCTGCTCTTCGTCCATCGCCACTCCTATCCCGCCCCTCCTCTTCTTGCCCTCCCTCGCGCCCATCTAGGCCCCGAGCGCGAGCTCCCTCACCTTCTTTCCACGCCGGAATGCCGAGTTTCCCAGCCCCTCCTCACGAAATCTCCAATCCGGGAGCAACGCAGCTCCTCGTCCCACCAATCTGTCACGCCCACCGCGCCTTCCGAAGCCCACTCCGGCCCTCGCCTCCTCCTGCTTCTGCTGCTGACGATAATGTGCCAGCTCCACCATTCATCGGCTCCCGACTCTTTCCTCTGCTCCCCTTCGTCGCTCCCCTCTCGCTCTCCCTCCCTCTCCCTCGTGCCGTCCTCCTCCTCCCCGCCCCGCCCCGCCCTCACCTCTCGATCGCCTTCTTTCTGCAACTCTCGCGCGGGCCTCAAATTCTCCGTCGTCTTGATCTGCCGCTCGAGCGTTTGTCGTCTCCGCTCTCCACTACGCAGTGCGGGGCGTCCCAGCCTCGGACCTTTGCGTGGCTGCCCGCTGCCCGCTGCCCCCTGCCCGGCGGGGACCGGCACCTGGAACGCGACCCACGCGCGCGAGTCTGGGAGGGCAGGGGGGCTACCGGGTGCAGGCGGTGGATGTGGGGATTATCCCGGGTTTTAGAGGGGCTTTCCGGGATGAGAGCCCGGGCGGGCCAGCATGTGGGTGGGGTGGGTGGCTGGGAGGGAGGGGTTTTGTGTGGGAGGCTGGCCGCGCCGAGGGGAGCTTGAAGCCACAAATTCGAAGCCTGTCGAGATAAGGCTTCGACAAATCGCTGCAGTCAGCGCGAGCTCAGAGCAGCTCTCGCACTGTAGAGGCGAGCGAGGCCGAGCTCTTCGTCTGCGCCTGTTGGTCGCGGGCCCTCGGATCCGATCACTCGGCTTATTTTTGGCAGATCAGAGGATGAGTGGGAATATGGCTCCAGTCACCTGCTCCAGTCTATCGGCCTCCAGAGCTCTGCCCTGTCTCGTCTCTTCTCGTCTCGTTCGTCTCCGCTTAAGCAATGAATGAGTCCGCCCAATCACTCGCGCTTTCCTTTCTCGAGCTTTTACGCGATGCCGGTAATTTCCATCCTGCCCCTTTTCCCGCGCCATTACAGTCTTGCCATTCTCCTCTGCCGCATCGAGATAAACGTCAGAAAGGTGATTCTGCGGCTCTTGTGTAGATTGCCGCGGAGCATTTAACCCTGCTGTCTTCTTGTCGCGGGGGAATCAACGCGCTCGATCTCCGTGACAGCCACACTGGCCGCGACCTTCCTCCAAACTCTCGGACTAGAAGATCTTGGAGGAGGACCATAACATTTTCACCTTTTTGATTATCTTACAATCCAGCAGGCACCTCATCCACAAACTTAGTGTTGTGGCTCTCGTTGTCGAATCAAAAGGCGATGAAGCCTGCAAGCGAAGTTGCCCACAGCGAGCTACGCCCATACTGCCCTCTGTCAAACAATATTGTTTCTCTTTCAAGCTTCGAGGCAACCTGCCAAAGCTCCAACTAATCTTAAGACATAGTTTTTTTTTTTAATTGCGTGTCAGAACAAGATGGAATTACACTGGGCAGTACGAGAAGTAACCAACCGATTTGGAATACATCATATTAAAATTGTTAATTGTGCTGCATACAGATGTATGCACATTAGGTCAGTGAACTCCGAAGATTCTTTGCCTCGGAGCAAATTGTCCCCGGTAGGAGTAAAACCGAAGTCCAAGCTTTGGTTCATCGTTGGGTCCGCTGCATGAATGCATGAAAGGAGAAATCGATTGATGTGGGTCGAATGCATAATAATGAGTCGATGTTCGTAATTCTCGATAAAGCTGGTATGACTCACAGAAGATGACAGGCTTCCCTGTTCTACCCTGTCGTCTGCCCTAAGCCTTAAACACAATTTATTACCTCAAAGTGGTACAGGTTCCTCCAAGATCTGCGTGACGCGTATCTTTCACATTGCAATTGCGGATTGTTTCCACGACAAATCGTTATCCGTTGGGATTAACCAAAACGTGGAAGACTTTGTCCTAGGTCAGGCAGGAGGTGAAAAGGCTACCCGCCTTCATCCACCACACTCCAAATGCTCAACGAGCTCACGCTAGATATGACAAGGCGAGATGCTCTTGGACTGAAATGAAAAGCGTGATGCGATCTGGGATATCCACCCCACGATACACTGCAGAACAGCCAGATAAGGTCGATCCGTGGCTTCCCACCACTATGTAGCAGTGGTTGCTATCCAAGAACTAATGACTTGTGGAGCTGGAAACAAAGGGCATTCGAAAAGCTGAAAAGGGTGAATAGGTGGTTACTATTCCATCAGGATCTTCCTCTTCTTGCTCCTCTCAATGTCCTTCATGTCGTCATGAGCTGCATACATGTTGTCGCACAACATTGACGAGGAAACATCGAAGGAGGAGCTGAGAAGCGTAAAAACGAGAGGACGTGATTCACAACGCGAATGTCTTGCTTGCGATGGGGGTCAAAAACTTGCAGACAGACAACCAAAGTTTTAGGTGGAAGGCAATGATGGCAGTGCTAAAATAGCGACTGCTTTAAATAAGTCCTGCCGCCATGGACACTTCACCTCATGCTCCGGGTTATGAGCTTCTCTCGTAGACATGGATTTGAATCAGGTGTGCTCGAAGGCACAGAGGACACTTTCTTGTTTTAGGAAAGAATGGGAGAACGCTGCGCTTCTGGTCGACGTTTGGTCTGCGCACATGCAATCTCTGATCGACCGAAAATACAAACTGTCTTCAGCAGGGCTCGCGGGCATGATAGCTCTCCTCCAGAGTTGTCTTATCCGTCTAGGAAGGAGAAGAAAGAGCTCTGCCCTTGTCGTTCCTGCTACGAGATAGCGCCTGGCCTCCATGTGGCCGAGCCAGAATTCCACGGGCACAGGTACGAGCCTTGTCGAGATCTGCGACGAGCATACGCCGCGGTTAAATTCTCAACTACGGTCCGCTCTAATAAAAAATGCCGTGATCATGTCTTCGAATGAGCACATTGCCACTGGATTGGCCCCTAAAACGGAGCCTAGAAGTGCGGTACGGTGTCGCGAGCGGGATTGGTCATTAAGCATGGAGATGAACAGCCCATACTCGAACCAGCGGTTTGTGAGAGCCGTGCTGCTGGGGCATGTGATGATGGGATTCGATTCCTCCTCCTTCAGCTCGATTCTCAGTTTGGCTGCTTGCGTGACCTGTCAGCACGTTGACCCTGGTTTACTAGGGCCTCAGTGGGCTGTCGTGCATAGGAAACCCCCCGCCCGCCCCTGCTCAGTTGCTTCGTGCGACGGAACCACTCTGATGGTTTCCACTGCCATCAACACATGCAGTCTTCCCACATTCCTGCAATCAGCGCACTCAGTCTCTCAGAGACTGTCAAGGCACGGCATGCGACGAAGAAGAAGGCGAAGAAGAAAGAAACCGATCATAACGCAGACTTCCAGTATCGCAATCCACGAGCATCGAGAAGTTCGTACGATATGTGCCTACAATTCAGAGCGTAGGAAGACAATGACATGTCGGCCACTGCGGAGGATTCCCATGTCCACGACAGGCGTGCGAGCGGAAAAAATGATATTAAACCCCAATTTTGGGAACATGAGGGTTTGGATCATTCTTCCTGCATCGCAGACTTTTCGGCGTGGGCGAGTTGTTTCTGAAGAGCTGTGCGTGACTTTTGTTCTTCTCTCGTGACTTGTCAGCATCCTTCACAGCGGACGTGTCCATCACGCGTTTACAAATGTGGACTTGAGATGAACCTTCGGTTAGTGAATGCATTTGTGATTCAATGAAGTCAATTCTCCAAACGACTTTGTTGTCACCTCCTCAGAACTTGATCATTTGAACTCATCAGTAATTCAGCGTTGTAGAACTGCTCTCGTTACAAATCATCAAGTAAAGTGGATGGAAAGGAGTGTTCCGACCATCCTTATGTCAAACATTTCTTTTTATTCGTTTACTGACATGTCAAGGACATGAACAGTGGATCTGATGATGAATAAAAAAGCGCAGGGAACTCATCAAGGTCTATGTGGATGGAACCAAAAATTTAAATAAATCTAGAGCCCCAACACCTTCTCTACGGAAAATATCTTTTATTACATCTGATATATAGTAAAAAATTTATCTGGATTATTTGGTCGACATATGAAAATGATAAACTACCTTGACATGTTTGTTCTCCATTGAATTATGTCATCAACATTGATTCTAGAAAAATATATACGCATTGTTACATCGACCCTCAGTTCTTGATAAATAAGATGGAATCGGTATATTTAGTTGGTTCGACTAGGTAGAATTGGGAAAAATGTTTCATTATTTTCTTTGTAAGTGTGTTGCTCCTCTTGAAGTATCTGATTGCTAGGTTTATAAGCAGTCATCGCGGTTTCGATTTCCAACTTGCCAATTGGGAAGTAGAAGCAAGGATGAGAAAATTTAATCGCACCTTGCCGAGTAGTAGAGCAATCTAGTTTCCTCGTCTCCTTTAATACGTCTCTTCACTAAGTAAAAAAGTAATCGAGTAAAGAGATATATCACTTTCTGTAGCTCGGATTTACTGAAACTCCGGCACACGAAGTTTGGGACATTGTATATTTTGATTGCTCATTCTCGGCCAAACTTCATAGAAACTTGTACTTCGTTCTTATATTCATTATAAAACATTTACTCAATTTCATTTTCCAACATTTTGCAACAATCCTCAAACTTATCACCATACCATATGGCAATATGTTAATCCAAGTGTACAAAATCCATCCATTGCTCTAAACAATCCAAAATTTATATGATTTTTTGACAGTCAGATTTAAATCAAAGAATTGTTCTTGAAAAAACCTTAAATTAATCACTTTTTTTCTCCCCTTAATGTATATCTTCTGTAAAGTTTCCAATAGGTCTTCAAACCAACACTTAATTGTTACATTAAATTTTTTATCAAATAGACTAAAATCAACATGTACATAGCGTTGACACAAGAGATACATTGTTTGACAAGGCATGATAAATGCATTTCCAAGGAGTCTATACAATAGTAACAATGTTTGACCAATCATGCTACATCCATAAAACAGAAAGATTCATATACGAAAACTCTAATTGAACTACTAAAATGAATCAAAATATGAGTTGAATCATGATCATCTACTCCTTCATCTTATTGTCTTATAGAGCATAAATTTTATTATATATGTATATTTTACATATAAATCTAGAAATGAATATGAGATAGATTTTTCAATTGAATTGAGAAGAAACTAAGCCGTTATCAAAAACATGTTAATAGTTTTTGCTCAAAACTTATGTGATAAGTCTCATATGCTCAATATCTTACTTCATTGTCTTAATAGTCTTTGATTGGAATGCTCAACATCATCTCTATATGGAACGTAATGATAAAATGGCATCTACTTCTCTTATATTGAGAATATACCTCAAATAATTCCATAATCCATTTTTCAAATAGCAAAAATCTCATCTTTTGTCAACTTTAATCTCAACTATGTTGAATGAAATTCAAGTTAGTTGTTAAAAAATGACAAAAACCTTAAACTTGTGATGTAAAAATATAGAGAACTTTGATAATGACATATGATAACAATAAAAGATTCATTCACTCTCATGGCACAACTATTCATCAAAACAAGATGGCGATCACAAAATTTGGGGAGCAAGATATGAGATCGTTTGATGCTGGTAGGTATTATGTGTTCTAAGAATGACAAATGAAGAACAAGTTGAAGGATATAATTTTAATCAAATTGTTATGGTCAAGTCTTTCCATCTACAACGACTACAACGACAACAACCGAGAAGATCTTCAATAACAAGTTGTAATCATATTCATAATACATTTACAGCCTTTGATTTTTTAAAAAAAAATTGATTATAACAATTGTATGATGCTATTTCAATTTTTTGTGCAAGAATGTTATTGCAAAGAGTTGTCAAACATGTTAAATATTTTCTTGAGTATGATGAACTTTAAGATGAAAGGTTTTAATACAAAGATTTAAGATCATCTTGACGCGCTTGATGATCTTGTGATTGATTTTTAACATCTTGAAAAATAGATAAATAATATTAAAAAAAATTATACCTCTTGAGTTCATTTACTGCTTCATATCTGTCTTTGTCACGTATGTTGTCTCATCAAAATCAACAAACAATCACTAAGCATTAATGATTTCTAGTCTAAAATGATGATAATATATTCTTCATTCTATTTTTTTGGTACAACACTAATTGTGATTTAAGTCTAGTTTTATTCGATAAAATGGAATAAAAAGGCAAGCTTGTCAGATCCAATGGTAGATTTAAATTTAAAAGTTAAATCCTAGGAAAAATTTATATCTAACATTGTATCTGAGCTCTCTAACCTTAGCTGTAGTTCAGTATTTTCTAAACTTGATGGGAGGCGGTTCATACTTTTTTCTACTTACTCACGAAGTCAATCTGTTAACTTTAGGGTTTTCCTAGCAGTATAAATGTTTCCTTTGAGTCATGATCCCTCACTTTTGTACACACGTTGCACTTATGCATCTTGCATCAATACTAATGTTATTATCATGTATTACAAGATAATAATTTTCGGAGCTTTCTATAAGTTGTTGTCCACATCCATTATCATTTTCAACAATACTACCGCGTAATACTGTTTGACTATTGTGTGAGTTGTCGTGCAATATTATTGTTCAAATCTTATGTGAGGTGTTATCCACAACACATTCAAATTGAATAAATGTTAGAAAATGATGATTCTAGCTTGATGGATAGAGACCTACTTTTATCGGCTAAAAAAAAACATTTGTTTTTTTTTTGCTAGTTCATTCATATTGAATAATCCTATCATATTTTTGCAACAAAAATTAAAAATCTATCACTGAAACATTACATAATCTCAAAATTAATGTAATGTCTCTATGAAAGGAAAAAATCATAGTGTAAAAGGATATTCTAGAGGTTTTGAAAATTATTTTTGTAAATAAGTAATTGCAAGAAAACTTTGTTATGAATATTCTCATTTGCAAAGAATACAATATGATCATAATATGCTCTTAATTTTGACAACAAAATGAATTTTGGCACAACAACAATGCACTGGTCACACATTAAACAAAACATAAAGGATTAACATCTACTGACAATTTCCGTTCAATTTTGAAAAGGGAAAAAGCTTACACGGTTTTAGGTGGACAATTTTGTCTATAGAATAAAACAAGCAAGATTTGCAGACAAATCTATTTTGAAATAGATTTTCAACTAAGTCCTTGTACACAATTTAATGAAACAAGTCATCCAAAGTGTAGAAAAAAAAGTTGGAATTAAATGATATTTTTATTTTTATCTCACAAACTAAATACAATATGATGAAATTTCTTAGAAATCAGAAGATCAATATAAAAATTGATCAAATGATTATTTAAAATCCGACTGTATGAAAGAAATTGAAAGGAAACCTTACATGCTACTAGGTCTCATCGTAGATTTCTTTTCACCCCATTAGCATATAAAAAAATAATATATTTTGGATTTAGAATCCAACTTGATCTCACTTTTGTTAATTATGGAAGGATAAATCATACAATCAAATTTTCAAATGATTATAACAAGCCATTTGTTTGTCGGTTAGTTCAAAACCAGTATGAAAATTTATCAAATATACTACAATAGTCATATCTTTAACAAGAAATTCATATGATATATCTGATTGTAATAGACATCTACTTCAACACTATGTGATTAAGACTCTTAGACATAACATATTGTTTTGGAGATTTAACTTTGATGAGAGAACAAATAGTCTTCTTCTCTTTGCAGTAACTTCAATTAGAAGTTTATTTTTTGCCATTATCCGTAAATAAATTTTTCATCTTCTATAAAATTTATGTCTCAACTTGGTTTTTAAATTTTCAAATGTTGCAAAGGTACTTGATTTTAAGATGAGAAAATAAATTCACACAAATTTTGAATAATCATCAATAAAAAATATATAGTATAACTTCCTAGAGAGTGAGAATCTTGAAAAGCATATACACACGCCACTTTGAACATATTTAAGAAACTCTTTGGAACTATGATTTTCAGCACCAAAGAATTGTCTCTTATGCTTGCTCATAGCAAAATGTTCACAAAACTTTAAGTCGATTTTCTCTATATCAAGTAACAAGTGTTTATAGCTAAGAAGTGTCATGTCTCTATTACTCACGTATATAAGATTAAAATGCCATACATGAGACATACCAATTCAAGATTTAATAAATTTGACTTCATCATATATGAAAGTTTTTTCTAGCGCATATAGATTTTTGTGATTGTGATTTCTTGAATAATTTTATCACGTATTTACATCTCAAACACTACCATAATAAACTGCAAACTAGAGCTACCCAAACGTATGGTTTAGCACTTTATTTATTTACTATCTATTGTAATGTGATACCCAACAAAACATATTGATTGTGCTCTTTCCTCCGTCTTCTTGATACTTTTTATCAAGATGCTATCAGTTTTGTGATTTTTGTAGCATGACAATTTCTTGTAGCACTCAATATGTACTTTACTCTATCTTCTTTTAACTTACATTTCTATCAAAATTTTATTGAACTTGTGATTTCTTGTACCCCTTTATGCAAACTTGCGTTTTATTCTTGAGAAGTAAAAGCAATAAATTGGGAAAAATTTGATTCATTCGATTTAAAATATTAAACAGTCTTCTTGTTTACTTTTGCTAATGATATTATTGTTATCCCGACTCACCAACAAGTTTTTTTTTCCTCTAGCTTTTCATCTCCTTTGAGCTCTAACACTTGATCAATCTTATGATGTGATCTTCAAATGTCTTAAGTCATAGATTATATTTTTTTTCCTTATTTTGTCTTTAATAGATTTAATTATAGACGATTGTTATCTCTTCATTGTTTCTATTTTGATTAAAACCTTTGCATTAATAAGTTCAAGTTTTACTCTTTGCTATAATCATCATTCTATCTTGAAATATGCCAAAAAATTCTGCATTGGACTGGCAAACTTAAACCAAACATTGCCACGATCATTTCATTGAGATGTCAATCTGATTCTCGT